AGGTTAGAGAGATGGGGATTTAAGAAATTGCAGCAGAGTGAAGAGAGGTGGTGGGAGCTGGGATGGGCTCTAAGGGACTGGAGAAGTAGGTAGATGGGGCTTGTAAGTTTGTACAATGTTCTAGGATCATGAAGGAGCCACTGAATGCTCAAACAGGGGAATGACGTAATGGGATTTCTAACTTGATTACTCAGAATTTTTCATTAAACTCTGCCTCAAGCTCGCCATTAGGCTGTAAGCAACCCACCTGAAAAATATTTAAGCCAGTAGGAATCTTGGGGTTCTTCTGATGTAGCTTACAGATGGAGATACCTAAGTTCAGAGAAGGCAAATCTTCCTTCTTCAAAGTGGCCGAGGTGGGTCTGGTTATCAATAACCAGTTGGCCTCCCCGTTCATCTCCCACTCAAGACCTCAAATATACCCCACCTGAACCAGACCTCAGCTCCCATGGCTGCTCCCATAATATGCAGGCGTCCCCTGCTTCTGCCATAAAGCCCGCCAGGGCCAGAGCAGAATCCATTAAATGATCTCCAGACTGGCAAAGGACATACTCATTAGAGTTCTGAAACCTCAGAACAGTTAAAAGCTTGCTTCAATGTCCATGGCTAGCCTGAGCCAAGATAAGACAAGAAGGTCAGAGATTATAGACTACGTGTCGGGAGTGGGGGTGGGGAAGAGCAGGACCCAACCAAGAGGTTTCCATGGAGAGCAGAGGGCTTGACTGCAAATTGACATATCAAATCCTGTTTCAAATAGCATGTAAAATAAGGAAAACAAGTTTAGGAATTGCAAAGTAACTCAGATTTTGTAAAAACAGATGGTGATAAAATACAGTTGTCCTAATATTTGGATAATTTAATGCCCTCGGCAACTCAACACTCACTAGGAAATTAAGAGAAACCGTTTGACTTAGGATCATTTAACATTTGGTTTTAAAAGTCATGGGCCAGCAAGGAGGTCTCAGTATAGGATGAAAATGTGATAAGAAAGGAAGAAAGAAACACAGTCCTGGGGAGTGCCATCTGGAATTAGAGATTACCATGAAATAGTAGAAAGAGGTGTCAGAGGCCTGAATTCCAGACAGAGCTTAGCCACCTATTAGCTCTGTGACCTTGCCCAGAACACTTAACCTCTCTGACCTTGTTTCAATAGTAAAGTTACAATGATAATAAAATACTTGCCCTGTGTGCCTCCGAGGGCTCTTCAGCAATCACGAGGGAAGTCAGATAGGGCATCAGTTCAGATCTCAGCTCTCCCACTTACTGCCTGACTGAGCCGAGTTTAACTCCTGCTCAACTTGGATTTCCTCAACTGGAAGAGAGGGCCGCTAGCACCTGCCTCAGCTGGTAGTTGCAAGGGCTAAATGCAGCAGAGTAAGACACTGTATAGAGCTTTTTGCACTGTGTTCAATAATGGCTGGTTTTTATCATTCATGTGATTATGTTTGCTACCTTAGAAATTGTTCAATCCACAAAAAAATGAAAGTTTATTGTAACCTTTAGAGTGATATAACTTCACCGAGCAACAGGATAATTATTAAAAGTATATAAGCAAGAAAATGAGAATGGAAGTGGTAAAGCATGCAGTCCATCTTTATAATGAAGAGACTTTGTAGATAAAGATATACGAGGACTCAAGGTCTTACAGAATTAATTCCTGTTGGCTTAGCTAAGAGATGGTCAAACAGATCTTTTTTTTTTAAGGGTGAAAAACACTAGCAATGATCAATAGCCTCGTGTCAATTTGGGATAAGGTATCTGGAGAGTGACTGTGCGAATCATGATAATTCAGTTTTTATCTAAAATCTGCAGAGCCACTGAGAGCAAGAGTAATTGGCACATTAATGAAAACTGTAAGGACACTGGAGACCCTCCGGGGGGCTTCTTTAGAGCTGGAGAAATTCAACCTAGGAAGATCAGAAAGAATGCAGAAGAGCTCAAAGTGCATTCATTTGTTCAAAAAATATTCTGTCCCTACTCTATGCCAACCACTTTGTTAGGCACCCAGGATTTTGGGATAACAGACATGATCGCTCTCCTCACCAAGTTCATAGCCCAGAGAGGCATAGAGCAAGTGATTGTCTATAATCCAGGGAGGGAATTATACCTAAATTTGGGGTACATTGTTATTTGAGAAATACTTCATCTATGCTCAAGACTTACTAGATTTCCATCATAAAACAATCTGTTCATGTACATTTTGATGATGTCTTTATTATAACTGCCAACACATCCCACCCACCCGCAGAGGTCTGTGATCCAAGCCTTGGCCTAAGGGGTCTGGCCAGAGATGACACTGGAGAAGTAGCTGGAGCTTTACCGTCCACATTAAGGTGGAAGGGAGAGGGCATTGTTGGAGAATTAGATGCAGTGACAGCAGTGGCCAATGTGATGAGAGGAGGACAAAGAGTTAGAAGGCAAATTCTGAACTAAAATAAAGCAGTAATGAAGATTTGCAAAATAATTAAGGTAAAATTGATTGGACTTAGGGACCCCAGACATGGGACTGCGAGAGGAAGTCTCAGGTGGCTCCCAGCTTTCTGGCTTAGGTGATTGGATAGATGGTGGGACCAGCACAAGGATGGAAAGACAGAAAGAAATTTGAACAGAAAATTTTGATTTTGGACTTGAGCGTCCTGTGGTACAGTCAAGTGGGCATACATAAGTTCAAAGGTCTGGGTCAGATATACAGTTGGGAGGTATCAACAGGTAGACAAAGTGCTTGGTATAGGCAATAGCACCCAGTATTAATATGGAAAGAGAAGAGGTCCCAGGAAAAGGCCCCAGGAACCCTAGCACCTGAGAGGCAGGGAGAAGAGACCAGACTCCTTCAAAAGGAAACACCATCTGGAAGTGACAGAGGAAAACCAAGAGAGAAACCATGAGAACCAAGGGATGGGGCAGGCTCTGGAAAGGGGGCATGAAACTTGTCAAGTGCAGTCAAGTTCATTACCAAATGCTCATCTACCCTAGCAACAAGGAGAAGAAAAACAAAACCTCATCTCCCACTTATATGGCTCCATAGGCTTTCAAAGCACTTTCATGTCTTATTTCATTTCCTTCACACCACAGCCTGTACCATGTCCTAGTCATAGGGATTGCCAGCCTCGCAATAGCCATCTAGGAAATTTGTGACCTGGCTTCTGGAACTAGAGATCAGTCAAGAGACTTTGGCCATGCTCTCTGGTTCTGTCCATACCTTATTAGACTTTTAACCAGTCAATAAGGAGATCAGAGTGGGGCTGCTGCTCGTTGTTAGTACAGAAGTGAAAGGACTTGTTTACCATGCTTTGTTTTGTACGTCCCAGAATCCGAAGAGGTCAATGTTCTGGGGTCCTCTGTACCTGAAGGGGCCTTACCCCTCCCCAGGAGAATCACTTATACTTAATTCATGCATAAGAGAGGGGGATCACTGATAAAAAAAAAAAAAGGTGGGAGGACCAATGAAGGCTTTCAAGTGGAGAAGCTGTGTGAACTCAGTAAGCTTTGGACAGATCCACTGCTGTCATTAAACCTCTATTTGATAGTACATATTTCTGGTTGTTGGGTATTTACACCATCTGAAAAAAAAGCAAGACTTTATCTGCGCTTCTTGTTTTTTACAACTGAATCCCCTTTCCTCAACCTGACTCCCACTCCAGGGAGTAGGCTTGTCTTCACCAGGAGAGCTGCTGGAATTTGGAGCAAAAGCTTCTTGCATATTTGATGAGGTGCTTCTCTTCAGCTCTCCATTCTGGCCCTCTTGCACCTTCTAGAATCAGGCCCAGCTCCTGACACAGGAGATCCCTGCTCTCATTCATTCCTTGGTCCTACCAACAAAAGGAGGGGGCTGCCCCCTCTGGCATGTTAGATCTGGACCAGAACCAAACTTATCCATGTAGGGCCAGACCTGGAGCTGCTTCTCTGCCTCACTCTCCATTGAGAGCAATTTACAAGACACTGATCTTTGGGAACTCACTGCACTGCTGGGCTCAGGTCTGATTCTCTCTGTCTACAGCTGTCTATCATTCACAGCCCAGGAGGAACCCTAAACGAAGCTCTCTATATCAATCTCTAACTTATTCTCTTTAGAGCTCAGATGATATCACTGCAATGTTATCAGATGGGAAGTTAAGTCAAGCCCAGAAACAGTCATCACTATGCAATGTTGATTCTCTGAGGGTGACTCACAGCCTCACTTCCAGCTGGTGGCCTTGTGCTGGTATTTTCTACTGCTGCACAAAGCTGAGCTTCAACCTGAGTACTTGGCTATATGAGTCACTCCCGAGTCAGGAACAACTGGGAAGTTCTGCAGGATCTGCACCATGGGTCATGGGTGGGCGAGACGGTTCCCTTCTCTAAGTGCATTGTGGAGGTGGCCCCGTCTCAGGCCGATGATGCCAGCACAGGATGAGGAAAGTGAACAGGATGGGGGAATTTGATCACAGCTGCCTACTTTACCAACTACTTTGTGTATTGTATAAATGAAATCATCTGTGGAATACTGCGTATGAAAACTCATTCTTAGATTAGAAAGGGGAGAGGCGTGAGATGGCTCTGTCCTCTTTCAGAACACTAGACAAGTAATGATGTCAAATCTCAAATCTGTCAAATAAATTGATGAAAGAAACAAGTTAAATAGGAAATCTGCAATCATCTTAAATCTATGTCTCGAGCCTCAGGTTAAAAACTCTTTAGAAGGTGGTAGGCCCTTCTACCTACCTACATGACGTGTCTCTAGAACCAGCCTGCTTGTGTCCAGGTCTGGTTCCCAGCTGCGTGACCTTAGCAAGTCCCTTAACCACCCTAGGGAGAATGGGAATAAGACAGCCATTTCTTCAGAGTGTGGCTGACTGTTGGAATGCGTTGTTAAAAGAAAACACCTCAAAGGGGGCCTGGGCACAGCGAGTGTCAGTAGTGTTAGCACACGTCACACTGGCAGGCCATGGGGGGCTGCCGGCTTGGTGGCGACCGCTCCCTTATAATTCGGTAACAAACCTCTGCTGTTTTCCTTGCTGTAGGTCAGTGCAGCTGAACGGCCAGCCCTTAGTGATGGTGGACGATGGCACCCTCCCAGAATTGAAGCCCCGCCCACTGCGGGCTGGCCGGACATTGGTCATCCCCCCGGTCACCATGGGCTTTTATGTGGTCAAGAATGTCAACGCTTTGGCCTGCCGCTACCGATAAACCGCCCTCACGCTCGGTGGCTACCAGCGGGCCTGCTGGACGGCTTTCCACTCTTTTGCGCTAATAGTATCATTATTTTTCAAACATCTTAACAACCAACCAGTCTCTGCTGCCCCATCCTGCTGGAATCAACACAGACTTGCCTCCAAAGAGACAAATGTCACCTGTGTGAACTTAACCTTGGTGGGTCACCCCAAAGGAAAAGTGGACATCGTGGGTTCTGTGTGAGGATGAAGGCGTGGGTGTGGAACTGTGCATGTACCCTGTGCACCACCTGCCACAGCTGACAGTGCACTCCCAGGACGACTGCCTCCTAACAAGTCTCAACCATCCTGGTCACACAGCGACAGGACTATGGACCTGGCTGAGCCTGGGCCTGCTGCCCTCAGCAGAAGATGAAGAAGGACAGAACTGGGCAGACTTTCCTGAGTCCAGTCCTCCTCTCACTCCTTCCCTTTGTCTGTCCCCTGCTGTTGCTCAGGGCTTCCTATCACCTCTCCCCCAGGGGGCACGCGGCGGCGAGTCAGTGCTGGCCTGCTGGGCGAGCTGTGTATGTGATTTCCCGCTGACGTAGGAGTGTGTGCATCCGGGCTCCTGACAGTGGCATCCATCACCGGCTATTCCTCTGGGAAGCGGGTCCTTCAAAAGTAAAATTGCAATCATACTCCTGACTTTGTAAGAAGGTTCTATTCCTCTGTGAATCTGGATTCCCCAGGGTTGGCATGGGAGTCAGGTAACAATATTCATTGAGTGGAGAGCTATGTATTAGGCACCACGAAAAGCAATCACCATCCATCATGTGGCTGTGCTGTGTGGGAGAGTTTTAGAAAGCGCACCAAACCATCGACACAAGCATACGTGTGCACACGCACACACACACACACACACACCCCCCAACTGGACAGACCTCAAAACTCAGAAGATAAGAGTTTGTTGGGGCAAGCCCTTAACGGTTTGGTATAAACCAAAAAATTATCACTATAAGAACATGGAGTCTAGTCTTCTTGCCTCTTCCTGGGCTGCTGTGAGCTCACCGTGGCACTTACTAGGCGGAAAGCAGATCTGGCCATCCCAGATGACAGGGCCACGTGGTTCCAGATGGACTTATCTGAGCACAGAACAAGCTTTCAGTTCGCCATATTGGGGGAGGGGAACCTGGAGACCAAGGCCAGATGGCAATCTGTGGGATGGTAGTGGGAAGCTCCAGCATGGGGTGTGAATGGATAAGGTCATGTAAGTTCTGGATGAGGACCTTCCATGTGCTTCAAGGTGTATGTGGGTCTTTGCAAACAAGCCACACTGAAATGACTTTCTTTTCTGTGTGGGTGATTTTCTTTCTTGGGGTAAATGGCATGGATGATGTTTTTTCCAACAGAAGTGACATTTGACAATGTCAGGACTCCAATTTCTGCTGTTGTGAAAGGATAGAATTGGAGGGGGAGGGGAGACGTCTTAAGATGGCCAACAAAGCAACCGGAAGGTAAGAGATAGGAGGTGGAGTAGACAAGAGAAAAGGTAGAGCCTGCTCGGCTGGAGGACTGAGAACTTGGGAGAGAAGCTGCAGACAGGCTCATCTCATAAGCAAGGAAGAGAGTGGACTTGATTTTCAACGTGTTCGTTATTAGATATAAGAGGAACACTACATAGAAGATGTATGCTTAGGCATGCAAAAAAGGGGAAACTGAGGCCAGGGCTGAGCCTGGTCAGTGGTGTGCTGGGCCTAGGAGCAACTGCAGGTGGTGCAGAGCCTGCTGTGTGGCTCATGGCTACCCAGGGGGCCCCTTCTCTAGAAGCACGCACCTCCCACTTAAGCCTCAGCCCTAGAGGGGAGGAGGCAGAGGTGCTAAGAAAGGAGGAGAAGCAGCAGAGGAAGGCAAGGAGGAGAGAGGCAAAGAGAAAGAGAGATGAAGTTGTTCTCAAACTGTCAAAAAATGTGCAGACATCAAAATCTCTTCCTAATGTGGGTGCAAGTACAACTGCTGGGCCCTGGTACAGCAGGAATTACCAGAAGTCCCTGTGGGCCCAGCCCCAAAGGAGTTAGTATTATTACCCCCATTTTTCTATGAGGTGTGGAGAGGGTCTCTCGTTTGTCCACGGTCACCCAGGAGAATGGGTTACTGAACTGTAATGATCCAGAGCCTGTTCGGCTAATGGCAAAGTTCAGTGGCTGCCCAATTCACAGACGCACTACCTTCACCTCTCCATAAGCTCTGCTAATTCAGTGCCACCAGGGCCTCCAGCGTGCCATTCAAACACTGCAAATGTGTGCTGATTCTTTACTCAGACTCTGCACTTGCAGAAGCCAGGCAGCTCCTGCTTCTTTGGTCTTTCCCTGCATTTTAGATCCTGCTCCTAAGAGGTTTAGGGGTTTTTAAATTAATAAAGGGGGAGGAGGGAATCTGTAAAATTTATCTTTGGAATCCTGCGAGTCTAACTTTGCAACTGTCTCATGGAAGAAGTATCTGCATTGTTCAGAGGTTACTGAAACACTCACTACAGGTTTTAGCACAGGACATCTATCCTGGCTTTTCCCTTCTGAGATGGGGGTAATTACTAAGTCAGTGGGGATGTCTCCTTGTAAGGGGTCCCCTCATCATATTCCCGGAAACAGACAGCATGTGGCAAACTCAACACCATGATCCACACGAGCTGCTTGCCTTGTCCTGGGGCCCAGGACAAAGACCTCATCCACCAGGTCAGACTTCTCTTCCTAAAACAAGACATGGCTGAGATAATCTAAGACTTAAGAGTCACTTTATTTTGAACAAAGAATGGGCTTGTGGGAATGCTCATTTGAAAGCATAATAATGTGTAAAGAGAAGTCTGCGCCTTTTGTTGAAATGATTTTCTGCTCTTCCTGCCTCTAGGAATGATTTTCTTTCTCCTTCCTTATCGCAAAGGCTCAGAAGAAATTCGCATTATTATTAGAAGAGAAAGTCTCAATTCTTCTAGTGCCCAGAAAAGCCTGCAATTGTGGGATATTAGCATTCTCTTTCATTAGAGAAAAGCTTGGGAGTTAAAAAAAAAAAATGAACTGGGCTGCAGTGAGACTAAGGTCTGGGACTCCCAGAACTGCCTTCTGCAGCCCCAGCCCCTCCCCAGCAGTAAAGCAGTCCGGGGGCACATAGGTCCATGCCCTGCACCTTCAGACGGGGCAGAAGCTGTGGGCAGATTCTGCCTGAAAGGCCCCCATCAGGGCTGCCAGCACCAGGGAGCCTCTGCAGCCTCCGGGTCGGGCAGTGGGGAGGTCGGGGACTGGTCTGGGCCAGGCCCAGCAGGAGCACAGCAGCAACTCTACAGGCACTCAAGGCCCTCGAGTTTGGGATGGAGGATTCACCTTGAAAATCCACTGAGAGTGGCCTTGTTGCTGAAACAAAAGGGCTGCATGTAATGTCTGCAGAAGCAAAAGCAAAACAGGTGAATCCCTTTAACAATAAAAACATTGGGGCAGGAAAGGACTTTTAAAGATGGAAATATCAATAGAGCAGCCAACAACAATAGAGATATGGCTGTGGAGAAGGCAAGGGAAGAAGGGACATAAACATTTAAATAACAACGTGACTTCCTCTGCTTTCCTCTCCACCCAACTTCAGCACCACCTCCCCCACTGCTGATTCTTTTTTTATGAACTTACTCTCTAGTTGCACACCTCCCCTCTGCCAGCCACTTTGTCCCCCACCCACAGTCCAAGGAAATCTGCTGTACCAAGAAGGAATTAAGTTTTGATTGTAGAATCGTTTGCAATCTTCTCTTAGGATGTAGCAGAATTGAAAATTAGTAAGTTCTCTTCTTCAAAGAGAAACAGTTGTTATCAGATCCAAACAACTGGAGCATATAGAATCGCTTCTTCTGAATTCCGCTTGCAGGGACACAAAGACTTGTGATGCCCAGTCCTGTGCCAAGAATTTGAAAAGAGTCAGAAGGAACTTGTCTGAGGTTGTCCAGATAAGCGGAGTGGCAGAACCGGGGCTAGAACTCAGATCTGCTCTCACTTCTTGGGCTGGCTGGGGTCAACTTGTTCTCATCTGTGTGTTGCCCACAGCTAGTTTTCTTAATATCCTATGTTTCTTCAGGAAACTCTAGCAATGCCTTTGCCCAGGACAATTCATCTCTGGTTTGGGGGAGTTGACCAGCAGCTCTGATGAGAGTAAGTAGAGCTCTCACCTTCCTTGGCTCTGGAGTTTGAATCCAGGTTCTCCTGGTCTGCTCCTCTGCATGTTTTCCTGTAAAACAATTTCCAAGATCACTCCCACAACTACCACCCACCATAGATGATGATTCCTGATATTTCTAAGTCCGAAAGGTAAGTGGCAGAACTTAAACCCACACACCCACTTTCTCTGAGAGTGATTTGACTGCTTTTCTAAGCCTCCCCAGACTAAATTATAAATCCATTAATCATTGCCCTTGGAATGTTATATTATTTGCAAATATTCTAAAACAAGAAAGCCAAATAGAGCAAATCAATTGCTTTGCCATCCATTTCCTTCCAGCACCAGAGCAGCCCCTGGGAGGTCCCCAAGACTGGCTTGGGAATGGATCACTATCCCAACACCCGAAGAGAAAAGGGGGCCCTTTGCAGCACCTGTCACGAACATGACTCTTCTAGTTATTATTCATGTAGATATTCTAGGATTATTTTTCAGGTTGTAAATGTTATGTATTAAATTATATTTTTTGGAAGAAGCAAAAAAAAAAAAAAAATGACCTTAGTTTCATTCACCTGGCAGTTGGCAAAATGAGTGCAGGAACACCTCCCAGGGAATGTTGTTCTCTGTGCAGGGGATTTTAGAAGGTGTTCATATTTTCTTCCAGAAAGCAGATTGTTTTAAGGTTTCTAAGAACCTGATGATTTGCAGAGTTTTTGGGTCCATGAGGTAGTTTACATTTTGAGGTAATGTTTTGTAAGTAATAAAATGTGAATACTCTAACGTTCTGTTCTCAGGGTGTTCTGTGGGGAGGGTAGGCCACTGCTGTCCACACTCCACCTTGACCTCAGACTGGGGATCTTAGATTCCACAATGAGCTGCTCTCCTTCCCTCTCCTCCCCCATGAGAGCTTTGCTTCAGGTACCTGAAGTGGAAATTAAACTTTATAATTCAAATTAGATGCCATTGATTAAATTAGTTAGAGTAACTGTTAGCTGCAATAACAGGCAAGCTCCAGAATCTCAATGGCTTAACAATCGAAGTTCATTTTTACTCATATATCATGTGACGTTCAATTGGTGGTGATGGGGTAAGGCGTAGTTCTGTTGCACATAGTCCTTTCAGGATCCAGACTGATGGAGCTCTCTCGAGTCTATAGTGCTTGACCTCCAAAGGTGGCGTGAGCGTCAATACGCGCCTGGCTCACAAAGCGAATGTACATGATCACATGGGAATCATTGAGGATAGAGAAGAGCTTGATTGTTGCTATCAACCAACTTGACCCAATTGACTTCTATAGATCATTCAATCCAACAAAAGAAGAATATGTAAACTTTGCAAGTCCACACGGACCATTCACAAAGATAAACCATATCCTATGTCATCAATAAATTTAAAAGGATTTTAAAGGATACCTTTACACAAAGGATAGCTTCTGACCAACTGAATTTGAAACAGAAACTAATAGTAGAAAAATAACTGGAAAATCCCCAAATGTTTGGAAATGAGACACTTCTAAATAACTTCAGGGTCAAAGAAGAAATCAAAAGGAAAATCAGAAAGCATTTTGAACTAGTTGAAAGTGAAAATGCAATATACAGAGTTTGGGTTGCTGATAAGGAAATACCTTGGGGAAAATTTATAATATTAAAGCCTTTTGTTAGAAAAGACAAAAGGTTCAAATCAGTGAGTTAGTTTCTACCTTAGAAACAATAAAGAGCAGATTAAATCCAAAGGAAATACTAAATATCTAGAGCAGAAATTGGTAAAAACTGGACCAATGAAAATTGAAGTAAAGCTGCTTCTTAGAGAAGATGAATAATAATTCTTTGTGTGATTTAAATCTGTCTAAGTTTATTGAACAGAATTAAAAGCCCAGAAATATATAAATATGGTCAATTGATTTAAGACAAATGTGCCAAAGTAATCCAGTGAAGAAAGGATATTTTTCAACAAACGGTGCTAGAAAATTTGACTATCCAAATGCAAACAAACAAAAAATAAGCCCCTTAACCCTCCTCTAACACTTTCTACCCAAATCAATGCTAAATGAATCATAGATCTAAATGGAAAACCTAGAAATATCAAACTTCTGGGCGAAAACACAGGATAAAAAGTTCTTGTGATACTGACTTAGGGAAAGATTTTTTTAGGTAGGTCACAAAAAACACAAATGTCTGTTCTTCAAAAGTCACTGTAAAGGAGATGAAAACACAAAGCCACAGACTCAGAAAAAAAATAAAAAGAAGATAATCATTTGATGTGGGATAGGTATTCAAATACATAAATTAATCATACAAATAATAATAAGAAAAAGCCCAATTTAAAAATGGGCAACTGATTTGAATACTTCAGTGGAAATGAGATATGAGTGTAATGTAAGCACATGAAAAGAAAGTTTGACCTCATTAGTCATTAAGAAAGTGGAATTTAAAATCTCAATGAGATACCACTAAATTTCCACTAGAATGGTTAAAGATAAAAAAAGGACAACACCAAGTGCTAACAAGGCTACAGAGCAAGTAAACTCTTGCATCGCTAGGAGGAATGCAGTACCGTACATGTATTGTATTTTGGAAAACAGTTCAGCAATTTCATAGAAACTTAAACACCTCCCATTCAACCTAACCACCCACTCCTAGGAATTAACCCAAGTGAAATACTTATTTTGACACAAAACACCTGGCCATAATTAAAATTAGATAAATTGGATTACATCAACATTGAAAACGTGTGCTATAAGTGAGACCATCAAGAAAGTGAGAAGACAAAGCACACAGAGAAGAAAGTGGGCAGCCAACTGGGCCTCCCTGGTGGCGCAAGGAGTTAAGCACCGCACTATAAAGCAATCCCAATCCGCAGCCTCTGCAGCACGAGCTCTATCCCCGCCCTGTCAGAGAGAAACCCACAGGTCACAGCAGACCTCTCCTGGCTCGCCCGCTGCTCCCCTCGGCAGTGTATTTTAGTCAGTCTGCCTGTTATGTTTCCCCGCTCTGTCTCTGGTGAATCCTCTTACGCCCATCTCTGGTCTGTACCCCAGTCTTGTGTGCATAAAGAAATAAATCTTAAAAAAAAAAAAAAGTGGGCAGCCAATCGCCGGCAGCAACTCCCCTCTGACTGCACTCAGAGCTCCCAGATGGCCCCGAGGCACCAAGGGGCTACTTGGGTGGGGATTTAGTCCTTTCCGTGATTTTCATCAGTTACCCACCCACCCCCTTCAACCACTCCTGCCTACTACACAATTAAAGAAAATGTTGCAAACACTGGGTCAAAAGCAAAGCCCCTACTCTGCCCCTCACAATGGAGAGAACCCTTCACAAGAAATGCCAGCCTTGGCTCTCCGCGGGCAGCGGGGCCCTTCTGCAGGCTGTCTCCCCCCAGAGGCCGTGGGGAGGCCATCACGGAGCACAGTCTCCCCAGACCTGCGGTTCAGCGCAGGTAAAGCCAGAGGCTGGGAAATTGCCCAGCCAAAGGCCAGGAGGCTGGGATCTGCTCCTGACTGGCCCCCCAGAAAGTTACTGCTCCCCTCTGGGCGTCAGTTTCCTATTCTGTGAATACGTCAGTGGGGCCTCTCTTCAGCTAAGGCAGGAGGACCCCCGAAGAGGGCTGGGTGCAGCCGGTGCCCCTGAGGGCTGCTGTCGAGGCCCCAACCCTGTGGGTCTCCTGCCCTCTGGGTAGACACGCGGGGGGCGGCCACCCGACGGCGGGGGTCAGAGCTCGCAGGGTCAGAACGCTGCTCGCAGCCGCGGCGGCCGCCAGGGGCGGGGCTCGAACCTGCGGGGCGGGAGGGCGGGCGCCGGGCTCCCCGGGCGCGGGCGGTCACGTGGGTGGTCGCGTGGTGCACCCGGAAGCGCGCTGCTGGGCCGGGCCGGCGGGGCGTGTTGTGCGGCTGCGGGTAGGTGGGTCTCCCCGACGGTCGGCGCATCGCCGGGCGGCCCCCTCGGTGGGGGCGGGGGCTGCCTGGGGGACCCCGCGGGCCCTCCCGGAAGTGCCTCCCCGACCTGGGCCGCACCCGCCGCTGCACCTCTCGCGGCCGAAGCCTCTGCTTCCACGGAGGAGGGCGGGTGCCCTCCGCCTGGGGCAGCTGTGAGGTCGGGGTGCCTGGGGGGTGAAACAGCATAAACTCTTGCGGGCGGCGCAAACGGGAAGGTTGGGGGGCGGGGGGAGCCCCGCGGCGTGAACTGCTCTCTCGCGCTGTGGGACTCCCACCCAGGGTCCTCGGGCCCAGCAGCGACAAGGCCAAGGCTCCGAGGGGGTGGGCCCCCAAGACCGAGCTGCTAGGAGGAGCGGCAGCCACGGGGAGCCTCCTTGCTGACATGGTGGTGCTGGCATCCTTTCCTCGGAAAGAGGTGAAAATGGGCTCTTGGGGGGCCCCCAGGTGGCCCCGTCTGCAGCTCCACGGGAGTCCCGGGTTCCCTCTTACAGCAGGGTGAAGGCGTGGGGAGATCAGAAATGATACTAAGGCAGGTTCGCTTTTCAATAGGCTTTTGGAATATAAAAAGTAGAACCTGAGCTCCAGTAAAAAGCGTTTTCCTGGGACTGTGGCCTTGAAGCCGCCATGTAGTGATCATCAGTGCTAGATGCTGGGACCCTACCCACCCCACTTGCCTCCCACTCGCTTACACTTTTGCTTTCCTAATTCAGCTAAAGCTGTGTATTGACCTTGCCCTTAATCATCAAAATATGAGTGATTCTGGAACGAGTTTAGTTTGTCCTCTTGCTTGAAGACAGGGCGCTGAGTGATAGTAACTCCCCAGCACCACTATGTAAGAAAGCGGAGCTTGCTAGGAGGGTGCTTCCTAGTGACTGAGACTCTCCCTGGTGGCTGCAGGAAGGTGGAACAGAGATCTCTTCCCCAAAGGCCAAAGCTAGAGCCAGATCTCCACAGCCTTTTGGGCTTGCTTTACTGCTGTTCATTGCCTCTTCCCAGGATACCCCCTCTCCTCTCACTGGGGCTGCTTCTCATCCAGGGGGGTACCGTGCTATCTCCCCACATACAGCCCCTCACATTCTCCTGGGGTTGCCAGGAGAATTTGCTGACCACACTGTGGCTCTGAGTCACCCACAGTGAAAGGAAAATGTTGGAAGGAATGAATGTTTGTGAGCCCCATGTCCAGAGGGGTGGGTGGGATAGAGGACTCTCGGCAGGTCGTGTCTATGGGAAGTGTGCTCTGAGCAGAGACCTTGGCCCGCTCAGTCATCCCCAGCCTGTCCACTTGCAGGAACCAGCAGTATTCAGGACAAGAGCCTCTGCCTGTGCTCACAACCTCTCTGTTTTAATCATTTGCAGAAACCAGGATGTTAAGCTGCTTTCCGATGAGTTGGTCACCGAGACTGTCTACTGCAGCCCTTTCTGAACCTCTCTCTGTCTGGAAGCCCCGCTGTGATCCTTGCCAAGGTAGACGATCCTGCCTGCCAGGGGCCGAGGGAGGCAGGCAGCACCACTCTGAAGTGGTGGGAGGCAGACAGTGGACAGACAGTGGACAGAGCTCTCCCAAGCTCTGAAGAGCCCTCTCGCCCTCTCTCTCTGCCCAGCCCTACACCCTGATGTCATTGTGCCTGTTCTCTGTCCTCCCTTGCTTCCAGGCTGGTCATTAGGCCTGTTAAATCTCTAAGCTCTATCTCGACTAACAAGCTGGTCACATAGGGAGCCCTGAGGAGTGACTGCGTCCAGGCCCTCGAGATGCCTTGATCCCATGGAGGGAACTGGACACCCACTCACGAGTCATAGCAGAGTCCCCGTCATGTCCAGCTCACAGACGGCAGGACCCTATCTGTGTGGCACATGGAGGGACAGGAGAGGACCTTAAACCCTTGCCGCTTACACTTTTGATTTCCTAATTCAGCTGGTCCCAGGGCTCCAGCATCACCAGGCTGGTCAGACAGCCCTTACCTGAGGGCTGAGGGGATTAGTGGCTTGCTGTATCCCAGGGGCCAGGCACAGACTACCAGTTGTGAATAAGAAATCATATTTTGCATAATCCAGCATGAATATGTGTGGCATAGCAGGTAGGTGTCTTGGGCATAGCAGGCCCAAGACACCAGTGGCGGCAACAGCGGCACGTAGATATGGGAAAGAGTCGCAGACAGTCAGCAGCCTGTTCTCAGACAAGGAGGAACTTGAGTGAGAGTTCTGTGATGCTGAATCAACTCCTCATGGGCTTTGAAATTGTGCTTGACTTGAGAAGAAAGACTTCTCGAGGCTGCCCAGAGCAGGGGCCGCTAGCAGCTCCCCATTCCAGATGTGACACTGACTGTCTGCCGGGAGCCTTACTGTGCAGCTGACGAGCATGTCCAGACCAAGAACTGGATCCTTCCTTCTGGGCTTGATGCTGGGGGGAAGGATGGGATAACATGGGGCAGAACCCCAGTATTGGCATCAGACACTCCAGTATCATCATCAGACAGGCCTGGGTTTAGAGCCCAGTATCCTACTCTGTAAATGGGAGTAACTGAAGACCCCTGCTTTATCCGGTTGTTATGAGGCCTCAAGGAAACCACATCAGGAAGACCCTGGTGGAGGATCCTGGCGCGCAGTGAAAGCTCCATAGGTGTCTGCGGCATGAGATCCTCGGCGTTTCTCAGGCTGAGCCTATGGGTTTGGGGGCTGGGAGGTGACCTTGATCTTGCTTCTCCCAGCAGATGAAGTGCGTCTTGGTGGCCACGGAGAGTGCGGAGGTCCTCTTCTACTGGACAGACAAGGAGTTTGAAGAGAGTCTGCGACTAAAGTTTAGCCCAACAGAGAATGTGGGAGAAAAGGTGAGTGCAGGGAGGAGGGATGGACAGGGAGCCAGGAAGCAGGAACCCCTGTTTTCTCCCCTCCTGGTCCAGCCTGAGGAGTTAACATGGGGGTGGTCAGTGTCCCTGACACCCTCTGGGCATTCTCCTTGATGCAGTGACCTTACCCCACCCCAGTAGGGCTCGCTGGCCTAAAGGAGGGCGGGAGGGGGAGGTAGAATTTTGATCACACAGCAGAGCAACCCAGTGTCAGGTGTCGTTGGGTTCTTGACCTTAAAAATTTTAGCATAAGTTTAATGTTAATTTTTAAAACAGACTAAGTGTAATTGACTTGCTGTAAATGCCCCCAAATAATAATATAATCAATCACACCAGAAAAAAATGGGCAAAAGACTTAAACAGACATTTCATTTAAAAAGGTATAAGAGTGACAAAGAAGTTTCGAGTTTCTTTATATAATTGGATGCAGGCACTTTAGTAGATTTCTGTTTTGCAGGTTCCTTCCTTCCTTTCTGTTCTTGTTATTGCATCCTCTTAACAGTATCTTGCAAAAAGCAGTTTTTTAACTTTGACAACTCCAGTTTATTTATTTTTTGCTTTTATGGATGATGCTTTTGGGGTCATGGCTACAAATTCTTTGCCCAACTGAAGATCACAAAGTTTTCCCTGTATTAGCTTCTGGACATTTTCTAGATACAGGTTTTTACATCAGGTCAAGTGATCCATTTAGAGTATTTTGTATATGGTGTCAAGTATAGATTAAAACACTTTTTTTCTCTTGCATGTGGATATCAGTTTAACACTTTAATATTACAACTCAGAGAGTTGTCATTTTCACTTACACAGCTCCTAGTCTACATTTTAAAGGAGTAATTTGTTCCAAAAACCCTTTCCAGATTAATTTTGGATTAAATATCACGTTGGGGATGCTGTAGAGGGGGTCCTCGCATTCCTGCAGCAGCGTGCACTGGTAGCCTTTCCCTGCCCCTCCTGCTGTCTCAGGCCTCGTCCTCTGCTGAGCCAACTCCGTTTCAGCCGGCTGTGACCTCGGCACCACAGATATCCTTGTCATGGTCTTTAAGAATAAAACAATGTATGAGAGATTGTGGACATTAAAGTTATTTTATTTTGAACTAGAAACTTACTGTTTTTGGCAGTCAGTACCTATAACTTTTAAATTAAGGATTTTGTATGTGTCTCAGTTCTTGAGCTATCATAATTTCAACGAGGTCAGATAAAGAAGCAAATTGATAGTATTTCTCTTCCTTTTTATTGAGAACCTGGCAAAGGGACAAGCTGATTTTTCAGTTCCTAGATGGCTAATGTTGAGTAAAAAAGTCTTTAAAGTTTTACTTTCTATGTATACAGCACTTTTTTCCTGATCCTATAAATAACATGAATTAATTGTAGGAAATTTGGAAATACAGAGAAGTAGCTTTTAAATGACCCATAATTCAGCTATGCAGAGCTACTACCTCTTTAATATACTGTCTTTGGGTCTTTATCTTTTATATACAATTGGGGTCATACCACACATACAGTTTTATTTCCTATTTTTTTCTTTTCGTTACATCAAAAGCATTATTCCAGTATGTTGAATAGCTTCTAAAGCATACATCTTAATGGCAGCATTATGTTCTAGGATATATGAATAAATATAGCATCATTTCTTTAACCATTTCCCCAATAATTCTGGGCATGTGTGTTGCTTTTTGTTTACTAAAACTACAGAGTAGGGCCATGTAGGGAACATTTGTGCTTGATCCTATCCTATGTCCTATCCCATGTCTCATTATTTCCATGAGAGCAGTTCCTAAAAACAGGAACATCAAATCAAAGGCCTTTCCAAGGTATGATATCACCTTATAATTCTACCTAGTAATAGGACAATGTCCCTTACACTCTACCTACACCAGATAGCCTCTTGTGCCCCACCAAGAAAAATTCTTACTACACCTGTAGAAAAAGCTAAATTTAAAGATATTAAAATATATATACAGCTTCAATTTTAAGTGACTTATTAATATAACTTGCTTGTGACAGTTCAAGACGATTGTGGTATGTGAATAATTCAGCAGATGTTGGCCTTTGTGGAGGGATATTCGTTCAACAGAGAATGAGGACCAGCCTCCCTGAGTAGAGAAGGGAGCACAGCAGCACGTCGTGCACTCAGGGAATTTAGAGTCTCAAGAGGGACAATATACAGTGAACCCAGCAGCAAACAAATAATCCCTGAGTGCAGGGAGCCGCTGTGGGGGTGGCCTCACAGTGGCCAGAGGAGGCGCCATCTGAGCCGGTCTAGGACTGTATTTTAATGCTGCACGTATTTTAATGCTGCACTCGTATTTTAATGCTGCACTCGTATTTTAATGCTGCACGTTGCCCCTGGCTGATTGCCTAGTTCTCTTTTCAGGGCAAGGTCTTAACCCAGTTCCCTGCAGATTTCCCCAGTGCAGCTTCTGGCCTCCTCCATCATTCATTCGGGGCTCCTGAAATCATCTTGGAGATGTCTCTCCTTTCCCTCCTTTCTTATCATTCCAGTGTTGAAAATTTGAGTTGGGTCCATTCCTCTGTCGTTAATTCCCTTTTTATTCACATATTTTCAACAAATTTTTCCAGTTTCTTCTTGGTTTTGTTTTGTTCCTTATTTTGGAGGGAAGAGCGCTTGGGTGTGGGGAGAGCTTGTGGAACCAGGACAAGTACAGAAACAGATACCTGGTCGGGAGGAGCCACTCACGAGTTCTCTCTCCAGAGGTACTGACCTTAGCAGCGTTGACTGGAATATTTTTAGCTGCATTTTAAAATACAGAGCATTCCCAACTGGTTTTTTTCCCCCAACATTACATGGCATCAGAGGAATTTTCCATGTCATTGAAACACTCCGATATTTTAAGTGACTACATTCTTCCATCATCTAGATGTACTGTTGTTTGTTTAATGATTTCCCTGGTACTGGATGTTTACATTTTTCCCTGTGGTTGCTACTGTAGGTTTGGCTGCAGTGACCATCTCTGCTGTATCTTCGTCCTCTCCTCTAACTATGTTTCATTCTCTGATGACGGCTTATTGCAGCCGAGAGCATGAACTTCAGGACATGTAGCCACCTTCCTTAGAGCTGGCCACTAAATGCCCCAAACATTCTGTATACTATGGAAATGTAGCCTAATGCCTTATAGTTCCTTCTAGATTCGAAGTCTGACCGGCACAATCGGCTAAATGACTTTTCCCACCCTCCCGTGCTGGCCTCAAACGATGCAGACCCTGAAAGTGAGGATCTTGTCCACTCCTTTGTCCCCAATGTCTGTCATACTCTCAGCTGTGTTACTGTCTCCTCTGGCAGCTCCCCGCCCTGGAGGACCAGCTCAGCACCCTCCTAGCCCCGGTCATCATCTCCTCCATGACCATGCTGGAGAAGCTCTCGGACACATACACGAGCTTCTCAACAGAAAACGATAACTACCTGTATGCCCTTCACCTGGTGAGTGTAGCCCCAGGACACAGGCTTCCCCGCTCCACTCCAGAGGCCATTCCACAGGCCTCTCCCTTATGTGGCACTGTAGACTCCTTAAAAAGGCAGAACCTGCATCTCCTCAAAAACCCCTGGAACCCAAGCCTCCCCTGGCTGTCCCCAGGGGCCAGGGCAGGTGATCCCTGACCTCAGGCTGCCACGCCCACAGTTCGGAGAATGCCTGTTCATCGCCATCAATGGGGACCACACAGAGAGTGAGGGGGACCTGCGCCAGAAGCTGTGTGTACTCAAGCACCTGTTCGAGGTGCACTTCGGGCTGGTTACGGTAGACAACCATCTCATCCGAAAAGAGTGAGTCCTCGGCACTGTCTTTCTGTGTCCTTTCTTAGACCCCCCCCGGAGCCCCAGCAGTGAGCACCCAGCCTCTGGGAAGCTGCCATCCACACCCTGCCCTGGCTGGGCCCCTGGGTCTGAGGAGCAGAGTTCAAAAGAATCTTGGCCTCTCATCTAACCCCCTGGATTTAAATAACTTGCCCATGGCCATCCAGCTGGCAGTGGCAGTGCCCAGCCTAGAATTCAGAGCTCTGGACCCCCAGTCGAGTGCTCTTTCCAGTTCTCCATCTGTCCTTACCAGCCTAGTCTGAGCTGGTCCTGCCCCGCTTCTCAAAACTTCAGAGTCTCCCTCCAGAAAAGATGGATGCCTGAGTGCACACACACAACCTTGTGAGCGTTTTCTGAGGGGGTCAGACCTGCAAACCTAACTCTGGGTCCACAAAGAGTCCACAAAAGAGAATGGTGGTGAGAGCATACATCTGGGTGGGAGGAACCCTGGGGGAGGCGCTGAGGTGAAAGGTGGACCCAGAAGAGAGAAGTTCATGGGGGGGACTCTGGACTCTCAGATATGGGTTGGAGAGTGGCAAGATTTGAAACTGTGAATCCTTAGAATTGTAAAGTGGTGAGCAAGTAGCCTGCTGGGACACGTCATCAGATTAGCTAACGTCATTTTACACATCTAGGACACTTCCCACATTAGTTAACAAATGTCATCTTACAAATCATTCTGGCCCAGTCAGGCCACAGTTTCAGTGGCAGATGCTGCAGGTAGTGGGTGCCTGAGACACAAACTGTATTTACTGATGCTGAGTTTGTCAGCATTCAAGATGACTGCAATCCTTATGTGACTCTGATGTAAGGAAAAACCAGCATCATGGCCTGTAGCAGAATGTAGAAACTCAAGGTGCCTTCCTGGGCCTCTTGCTGGCTTCGTGTCATAGGTCTGTGTGAGGGACATTCAAAGTGAAGCAGTTTGCTCAGGCACGTGGATCCTGACTCCGTGCCCACCCCACTCCACTTCTCTGCACAGGGGGGCACAGCCCAGCCTGGCCCCTGTGTGCTCTGGCCATGTGTCGTGAATTTGCCCAGCTCTGACAGTGATGTTGGACATTGAGGATGACCAGCTTTGTCATGGCTTCTTCCACCCTTTCCACCCAGGCTGCGGCCCCCAGACCTGGAGCAGCGCGTGCAGGTGTGGGAGCACTTCCAGAGCCTGCTGTGGACCTACGGCCACCTGCAGGAGCAGGAACAGTGTTTCGCTGTGGAGGTGACTGCTGGGTGTGGGAGCCCAAGGGCCATGGAAGTGCCAGGTCAAAGGGGCCATCAGCTTTAAGGTCATGTATTGACCCTAATAAGCAAGGGCACAGACCCTTAAACTCATGCATTTAGAGAGTTGTGCTTTCTGGTTACATGGCAGGTTGGCTATTCTGATGGGCCTCCCTCAATAAAACAGATAGATCCTGGATAAAACAGTCTCATGCAGTTTTTGGACACATTATAAATTATGGAAATCTCTGAAGATTATACCTTCTCCTCCAAAACATGTTGAACTGAAACTAGAATGGAAAAAAATGACAAATAAGCAGGAGGAGCTAAAGGCACAGTTGCCTTAGTACAAATGATGATAGCAGCACACCAGGCAGGAAGCTAAGCCTCAGGACAGCAGCAGCACAAGGGAGCTGAGGCATCAGGGAGGCAGTTGTCAGTAGTACTTCCTGGTGCCCTGTATCGGCACACATGAGTTCTCTCTAGATCTGTGGTTCTCACGCTTGGGTGTGCCTCACTGGAGGGCTGGGTAGATGCAGCTGTCTGGGCCTCACCCTCAGTTTCTCCTTCATTTGGAGAGAGAGATTTGGAGACTCAAGATTTTGCATTTCTAACAAGTTTCTAGGTGATGTTGATTATACTGGTCTTGAACTGCAGTTTGAAAATCACTGCTTTGAGAAAGAAGAGCAAATGAATAGAAGCTCACAATTTAAGGTCAGATGCACAAAAAAGTAAGCCATCATGAATGAGTCAGGGGAATCAGTCACCAACCTACCTAGATCCCAAGGAGTGATATATTGGCATTGTTAGGTATAAAATATAAAACAGCTATAAATATTTAAAGATTTAAAATCTAGAATACACACACAAAAGTAACAAAAGACTAAAAAAATGACCAGGCATATTTGAAACAAACCATCTAGATCTTTTAGAAATGCAAAAATAATAGTTAAAATGAGAAACTCAAGGGATGGGTAAATAGTATCAGTATAGTTAAAAAGGGAATTAGTGAACTGGAAAAAAGATCTGAAGGATTTCATTTCACACTCCCACTTGCCCCTCTTCCAGTAAATGCTTAGTATCCATCATGAGCTGAGGTATGCCAGACCTAGTAGTACAGAGATGACTATAGACAGTCCCTGCCCTTGAGGGGAAATCAGCCAAACAGATACATTAAAAAATACAGTTAAACTTCCTGGGTGCTGCCATGTTGGGTTTCTTATCAAAATCCATAGTGGCACAAAGGATGGAGTAGTTACTCTTTCTGGGGCAACAGGAAAGTCTTCTTGTAGGAAGTAATCTAATGCAATCAAGATAAAATCCAGACTCCTTTCAACCTCCCCAGGCCTATATGATATGCTGTCGGCTTGCCAACCCCAGCTTCATCTCATGCCTCTCTTGTCCTCACACTCTACACTGGCCACCTGGGGCTTCTTTTCATTTCAGCAGTATATTATGTTTAGTTCTATTCAATGTGTTATGCATTAGCCCCCCTCACCCCGCCATTCAGCTTTTAAATACCTAAAAAGTAGTCCAAAGTATGTTATGCTGGACACTGGATTTTGTTGACTTATTACAAAAAAGGGAATATCAAGTAGTCCACTAATAATGCTTTTATATTGTGTTAAAATTATATTTTCGATATATTGGGTAAAATCAATGATCAAAATTCAATTTTACTGTTTTACTTTTTTAATGTAGTTCCTATAAAATCTTACATTATGTATAAGGCTGCCTTGTATTTCAGTTGGACAGCAGTGCTCCAGACTCTCCCCGCCTCAGGACCTTTGCATATGCTCTGTCCTTAACTGGCAGCAGTCTCATCGTCCCTCTTTCTCTGGCAGACTTTCTTATTCTTCAGGTATCAGTTTAAGGGTCACCTCTTCAAGGACATTTTCTTTGAACACCTTACCCAAATAGGTCTCTGCTTTATTTTCTAGTTCAGTACCATGTATTTCCTACTCAGCACTGATGTTATCTCTTCCTTTGCATATCTATCGCATGGCCTGGAGTCTAGTGACCAGACTGTAAGCCGCAGGAAGGCAGGGACTGTGCTAGCCTGAGTATCCTTGTTCCCAAGTATCTGGCATGTAGTATTTGTTCAGTTTGGACTTTGTGCTCACCAGCCAGAGCAGGAGAGGTTGTGGGTAACGTGGCTTCTTCTCCCTGCCCACCATGGCCAGGCTGTGGAGCGGCTTCATCACCCCCAGCTCTGTGAGCTATGCATCGAGGCACTGGAGCGGCACGTCGTGTCGGTCATCAACTCCAGCCCCAGGCGGGCTGGCGAGGAGGTCCTGCACGCCTTCTTGCTTGTGCACTCCAAGCTGTTGGCCTTCTACTCCAGGTGAGCCGCGGTCGCCTGGGCCCCCACTCTCGCCCACTCTCATTCCCTCCACCTCGCAGGCCAGCAAACCTTCAAGACCCATCTCCTCCACAAAACTCAGATTTTACCATTCTCACGCCCTCAGCTCACTCCCTCCTCTGAACTATTTCTTCCTGAATTTAGAACTTCCTGATATGCTATTACTGGTCCCTGGTGGTTTTCCCACCCGCAGTTTCTTTTTCTAACATAACCAAGTTTTATTTTAAAAATTGATGAGTCAGTTAATTTTATGTATACCTTAACCTTCTGCAAAAAGAATTGAGTCAAGAAATGCATGACAAAAATGTATTACATTGTTTCCTGAATTTAAAAAAATGAAGTCAGCTGGCATATTCACAAGCTCTTTGAGGACAGGGACCGCGCTCTGCCCTCCCTTGGCCTACCTGCCCGTCCTCTGCCACCTGCAGGTGCTGGGCACTCCGGCACATGCTGATGGGCCTCCGCTCCCCTCCATAGCCACAGCGCCAGTGCCCTGCGCCCAGCTGACCTCCTCACCCTCGTGCTCCTGGTTCAGGACCTCTACCCCAGCCAGAGCGTGCCAGAGGACGAGGACACACAGGTCTGGGCAGCTCTGGGCAGCAGGAGGGTGGTGGGCGGGCTGCTTGGGGCAGTGTGGTTTCCTTGTGGCAGATCAGGGCATGACTTTCTTCCTGTTGCTTTCAGGTGTAAGGGGGATTCTAGAATGCCTGTGTTTAGTGGATGTAAAGTGCAGATTTTTTAAATCAGTCCCAGCTTCACCGTTTAGTTATATGAGCCCGGCAAATACTTGACCCCCTGAGTCTCCATCCCCTTGTCTATGCTGTGGGACGCCCACAGCAGCCCCTATGAGGGCCGTGAAGAGGAATAAAAGAGATAGTTCACCTGGAATTCCAGCAGTGCCTGGGCGTGTGAACACTCAATGCTGGCTGCCACTCTTGCTGAGGTTTTATCATCAGTGGGGTGGTGATGGTGGTTTGGAAGCTGGTGTTGGAATTTTCAGGAATTTCAGTGGCTCTGGAAAAAGACTGGACCACCTAGAATTGGAACAACTCTGAAAACGAGGAAGCACTCCCAGGGCTGTGCTGTGGGGCAGGCCCACTTGCCCTCTGCTCTGAGGCCTGTGCCACCACGTGCTGGAGGTTGAGGCCCGGTCGAGCGCCGCCTCCAGACAGGTCTCTGATTTGTGTCTGTTGCAGGCTTCCCCGCGGAGGCCCCAGAGCAGCCAGAACATCCCCGTGCAGCAGGCCTGGAACACCTGTTCCAGGGGCCCGACCAGGAGGAGCTCTGCAGGGAACGTATGTGCAGGAGCCAAGGGCAGAGGGAGGGCCTGCTGGGACAATAGCGCCGAGCCCTCTTCATCCTCCCAGGAGACAGACAGTGTCTCCCTCCCTGAGGAGTACTTCACGCCTGCTGCTTCCCCAGGGGAATGTTCAGGTAAGACCCAAGAAAGGAACAAGAGGCAGATGTCAATTAGGGCACCTCTCTGGGGTTCATTGGAACCTCACACCTAGTAAGGCACAGACCCCAAGTTCCTAGAGCACAGGATTCAGTCTCCTACTCCCTCCCACTCTATCCTTGCATTAAGAATCAAACGATTCCTAAAGCACCTCATGACAGGTTGATTTCACTTTGAAATCTATCTCTTATGTGTGTATTCTCTGCCTTCTCTTTTTTTGTAATTAATAAGTAACTGAGTAATTAAAATTAAGTAAGAATCATTTGAATTCAAGAACAGTGATTTAAAATGTAAGTGTTCAGTCTATAGTTTGTGCCTTACCTGTTTTTCCAAAGTGTATGGGCCAGCAATAAAAAGAAACTAAAAGTGTTCAAAATGTTATTAACAAAATAGAAAAAGACCAGCTTGCTTAGAGAAAACCGCAATCCAGACTGATGTTTCCCTGGGGCACTACTTTTCTCCCAGAAGTTCTTGGGAAGAAGATGACTCACCTCATCTGGTGGAAGAAAGAAGGCCTGGGTTTCAGGAGAAGAAACTTCCCAGGAACTGGGCTTTGAAAGGAGTTTACTGTATTAGCTTCCTGAAATCAACGGTCCTCAATCCTGGTTACACACTTAAGTTACCTGGGTCGTACCAGCCAGGCCCATTAAACTAGTCTGCAGGCTGGGGCCTAGGCGTGAATACTTCTAGAAATATCCCCGGTGAATCCAAGTGGGAACCACTATTATCGCTTTACCCCTGGCTGCAAGGGGGGCTCATGTGGGGATCTTTAAAAACTCAAAGCCGGGCCTGTGCTTGCAGTGTGGACTTGTCCGGGCTGGGCTGTGCCAGGGCATCAGGATTTTCAGAAGGTCTCGTGAAGCCACTGGGTTAGATGACTGCACCCCCAGACATGCGCATGAGTTCCTAAGTTCGCGTATGCTGCGTGTTTTCAGCGCTGGTGTCCATTGCTGTCCCCAGTTTTCTAAGCCCCCGGAGCCTGCACACACTGAGATGCACCACTCTAGGCTGACCGCTGAAGTTTGTCTCTTTCTTCTTGCTGCTCCTCCCCTCATCCATCACTTGCCTCCTGGTCCCTTTCTCTCAGGGATTGTCTTCTTATGCCTCAGAGCTGTAAATAATGTCATTCCTCAGTGCATGCAACTCACAGCTTACAAATGGCTTGAGTTGCTTTCATCCATTTGTAAACCAGGTAGTTGAAACCTAGGAACAGACTTCCCCTGAGTAAATGATTATAAATGATAGTTATTTGCATTGAAATATAAGAGGGTGGGGCCTCCCTGGTGGCGCAGCGGGTTGGGCACATGGCTCTGTGAGGGTGTCCGCAGCCTCTGCAGCGTGGGTTTGATTCCCTGCTGGCCAGGGAGATACCCACATGGCACGGCAGACCTCTCCTGTCGTTCCCGCTGTTCCCCTCAGCAGTGCTTTCGGTCCGTCTGCCTGTTCTGCTCCCTGCTCTGTCTCTGGTGAGTCCTCTTACTCTCCCATGTCTCTGGCCTGTACCCCAGCTATTTTATAAAAAAAAAAAAAAAAATAAAAAAGAAATGTAAGAGGGAACACTATTATTACAAACATCATATTTCAAATATGGACTGGGTTCAGTAGGATTTTGTAAGTTGTGCTAGGAGGGGAATCTAGCTCAATTTGCAGCATGTAGTAGGTGCTCAGTAAGGTTTGCTGATTGACTAAATGAATGGGGAGCTGTAACTGGTGTCTACTGCCTCCTAGTGAAGAGGCATCACTGTAGCCAGGCCTGAAGGACTAGAGAGGGCAGAATCAAGGAGGGAATTGAGGCAACCAAAGGCTATGACCCCCTCGCGTTGCCAAGTGCTTCCTCTGGCATTTGCCAACTCTGGGGGCATTTCTTTTTCCCAGGCCCCAGTTGCTTTATCCCTGGTAGCACAGTTTGCTCTACATGTCTGCCCAGCCAATCTTGAGATGAAAGGGGCATGCTGGCACAGGCCACACTGAGTTTCCTGGCCTTGCTAGGTGCTGTGAACTGCTAGGCTGGGCCATCTCTGCTTCACTCCTGCAGACATACAGATAAAATGTTATTTAACAGTTCCCATTATTTATGTTACGTTATTACCCAATGCCTGCAGGTAACATCATCTGGCTAGAAGAGGGCACCCCACCCAGTGATGCTCCCCAGGTCCAAGTGAGTTTCTTCTGGGAAGAAGGGGGTTCATTGCAGTGAACACTGGGATGCAGGTGTCTCCTCCTGGTAACTCCGCCAGCCCCAGCCTGCCTTCTGCCACCCCGGCCTGGCTGGGGCAAGGGACAGAGCTCAATCCAGAGGTGGGGTGGGTGCAGGGAGTGTTTAGTAAAGGGTGCCTTGCCCTCCCCACTCCCCCAGACACTGGGCCTCAACTCCTAAGAAATCCCACCACCCTCAGTGGTCTTTAATGTTAAATGAGAAAGTAAATACATTCCTTGTAGAAAAAATTGAGAAATACAGAAGTATGGAAAAGGGAAAATTCACCCTCAGCCCCACCCCCAAATGTTAACTGCTGAGATTTTTTGAGTGTTTCCTTCTAGTGTTCCCTTTGATTTTATATGCTTATATGCATGCATGTTATTTTCCATTCCCCAGATTTGAATCCTAATGTCCTCCATTGTGCTTTTTTCCATCAAGCATTTTCCATTTGCTGAGCTCTCCTCAGGAGTGCTGTCAGGTGGAAGCTCCCAATTTACACATACTATGGTTTATTTTACCAAATCCCCAGAACAACTAGGACTTCTGTATCTGGTTGTTGTTTTCTTAGGACCTGAGTAACGTCCTTGCTGACACAGTCCTGGGGTCCTCTGTAGCTATTTCTGAGTCCTCTGCTCCCTGACTCGGGCCCTCTGTAAGGCTGAGTCCTACCCTGAACTCCAGGCAGGAAGGCCAAGAAACAGCTGAGTGAGACCCACAGCCGCAGCCCTGCCAGGGCAGCCTCCACAGCGCAGATGTTCAGAACTAGGGTTTGTTGGAGCTAAAAAGGTTTATCCCTCATGGTTCACAGGGAGCATAGCGATTGAGCATCCATGGGTGGATCCAACACAGGGAGGAGGTTAGACGACTCCTCTCCAGCCCCCTCCCGCTCTCGGCTCCTCTCCCTCCACAGGTAGCCGAGGACTCCCTCGAGACGCTGATGCCTTGCTCCCCAGCACCTTCCAGCCCCCGACGCATCTTCCTGGATGCCATTGTGAAGGAGACCTACTGTCCTATGGTACCCCATACCATGTACTGCCTGCCCTTGTGGCCTGGCATCAACATGGTGCTCCTGACCAAGGTAGGCAAGCCCCCGGGAGGCCCCAGCCAGGATGCCTTCCCTGTAGGCTGCCCCTCTGACTCTTCCCTGCTCTTCCCCCTTTAGTGCCCCAGCACACCCCTGGCCCTGATGCTGTACCAGCTGCTGGATGGGTTTTCCCTCCTGGAGAAGAAGCTCAAGGAGGGGCAGGAGGCTGGGAGCTCCCTGCGGTCCCACCCACTCATGGGGGACCTGCGCCAGAGGATGGACAAGTTTGTCAAGAATCGAAACGGGCAAGAGATTCAGGTGAGAACTGGGTCCCAGGTACTCCCAGAAAGGGGCTCACAGGCGGAGGGCCACAGGCTCTGGGCCCTGCTCTGCCAGAGGCTTGTGATCCTGCGTCCCCATTTTGAAATGACAGCAGACGCCTACAGCAGCACTTTACATTTTCAGAACATTTTTAAGTGAACTTGGCAGAACACGAATTATGATACCCATTTTTTAGACCAGGAAACTAGGCTTAGATCTTGACTTTGCCGAGATGATGCAGCTGGTGAGTCAGAGCCTGACTTGGGGTGGGGGGTGGGGGTTTGGAGGGTGATAGTTCAGCAGGAGGAGACAGTCGGGAGCCTGTCTTGGGAGGGGTGTGTCACCTGGGATGAAGCCACTGGTGGGACTCAGGTCTGTTTGAGGAACTGAGATTCAGTTGTGGCTGGAGCGTGTGTTGGTCTGAAAATGACCGAAGAGGGCAGAGCAAGTAGCTGAACCCCAGACCCAGACAGACACAGATCTTGGCATCTTGCAGTGAGTCCTCTGAGAGTGCAGGTCTCCTCCATTAAGGAGCTCTGCTGGGCCCTCCTCAGCACCAGGGCCCTGCCTGTGCCTCCCCCACATCCCCACGAGATGTTCACTTGCCACAATAACATTAGCTTCTCTGTCTGCGCCTGGCTAGGCAGTGCACTCTGTATGTGACACATAAAAATTGCTCTTTAATTATGCCTGCTGAGCGAGTGGGATATGGTGGAGAGCCAGGGGCCCTGCCAGAGAGTCCGGCTTTGGCAGTGCACAGGCAGATGCATGCTGAGCCTAAGTGCTGGCCCCCGAGAGCTGGCATGCCCTCACAGAGCCCTGTGTCTGAAGGGTCTCTGGGGCCCTTGTTGTGGGATTATTGCCAGGGAGCCCACCTGTCACCTGTCCTCCTTTTTTCTTCCAGAGCACCTGGCTGGAGTTCAAGACCAAGGCCTTCTCCAAAAGTGAACCAGGATCTTCCTGGGAGTGAGTGGTGGGCTCTGAGGACAAAGGGGAGTTGCTGGGACCGGGGGTCTGTTTCCCAAAGAGACCAAGTATCCTCCAGGCTAAAAGGGAGAAAATGCTATGGAAGGTGCTGGTGAGTGCAGAGGGGGTCCTGGGAGAGCCCAGCGCAGCCAGCCGGTCCTGAGAGAGACTGGGAAGAGGAGAGGTAGAGGTGGAGATCCAGGGGGAGCGCCAAGCCCAGGAAGGTAAAACCTGCCAGGAGAAAGGCCTGGATTCCTGCCCAGCCTCAGCACTGACTCCCTGTGACCTTGAGAAGTCACTTCTCCTCATTTATTGGTAAAATAACCGATGAGGTTGGAGCAGAGTCCTTGGCAAGATTTCATCCCAAGTATGTGTAGCCTGGGGTTGGGGGAACCAGGGAACCCCGTCCCCCACCCCGAGCTGGATGAGGGCGACATTGTGCCGCCTCTGCCATCTGTGTGGTCAGGAGCAGGGGCGGCCCTCGGGACGACACCCTCTCCTAGGGCCCTTCCCGCAGTGACACTGTTGCCTCCCGGTGCCCAGGCTGCTCCAGGCGTGCAGGAAGGTGAAGCGGCAGCTCTGCACCGTCTACCGCCTCAGCTTCCTGGTCACGGCTCCAGGCCAGGGAGGCCCCCAGCTGCCGCAGCCCTTGCAGGACCAGGTCCAGATGCTCATGCAGTAAGTTCGGCCGTGGTCCCTCGGTCCCCAGAGGGCGAGCATGGGGCGCACCTCACCACACCCTTCCTCCTCGGCAGAGAGAAGCTGATGGACTGGAAGGACTTTCTGTTGGTGAAGAGTAGGAGGAACATCACCATGGTGTCATATCCTGATGCCCGGCCCCTGAGTCTGCTGGTCTCCTCCACACCGCAGCTCTGGGGAGGGAGAGTGCATATTCCACTGCCCCAGATCCTCGTCTCTCAAGAAAAAGCGTAGGGATAGTGTCCCGTTGCCTCATCTGTAGACGTGCTCCAGGCTAAATTTTCAGAAATCCCTGTGGCCCAAGGCTATTTCATGAAGCCTACGAGCTTCCAGCCCCTCCGGGGGAGGTGCAGGCTTATCCCTGTGTAAAAACCGTGTCTAAGGCTCCTTTGACACTTCTGTTACGGAGCACTAATTTTTTTCCAATCCTGACTGGCCCCGGAACTTTACATGAGGTAGCTGTTTCTTTATTAATACCTCCCATTGGTCAAGATCTGGCCTCCCGAGATTTTGTGTTCAGTGCACAGGCGGGAGAGTGGACAGAGCCACCAGCCACCATACCTCTGTGGTGTCTGTCCCCCTCTTAAATGAGAACCTTCCGTGGGACCCTCTCACGGTGCGGTATAGAGATGAACAGTCACGGCGAGGTGCATGGGCAGGCAGTGGGCTCGGCTGTCCCTTAACTTCGTAGCTCTGTTCACTCCAACCTCATCGTGTGAGTGATCTAAACTCACCCCTCATGAAAATGATAGAACGTGGACTTACCAAGCTCCTGTTGGCTCCAGGACCCCCATGTTAAATGTGTGGGTGTCAGGCATCCATTGTACTTGCATCTGTGAATTTTTATGGGTTGGAGGTACTGGAGGTAAAAAGATCAGAGAAAAGGGGATCCTACAGAGCTGGCTGAAGTGGGAGCCGGTGGGGAGGGGCAGGAGTGGCAGGCCAGGCCCCTGGCGCCACTGCTGGGCTGTGCTGGAAGCCAGGGGAGGGCAGACTAGTCCCCGCCCTGGTTCCTGGCTTGCCCTTCACCTTAACTCCCGCCTTCACCTACCTTGAAGACTTCCCAGGCTTGGTACACTTCATCTTCGTGGACCGCACGACCGGCCAGATGGTGGCCCCTTCCCTCAGCAGCAGTGAAAGGACCTCCTCGGAGCTGGGCAAGGGGCCTCTGGCCACCTTCGTCAAAAACAAGGTAACCACAGGGCCTCCCTGGTGGCGCAAGGGGTTAAGCACAGCACTATGAAGCAATCCGTAAGCCTCTACAGCACAAGTTCGATCCCCTGGCCAGCCAGGGAGCAACCCACATGGAGCAGCAGACCTCTCCTGTCTCACCCACTGCTCCTCTCAGCAGTGTATGTATTTCAGTCAGTCTGCCTGTTCTGCTCCCCATTCTGTCTCTGGTGAATCCTCTCACCCCCGCATCTCTGGCCTGTACCCCAGCTCTTGTATGCATCAATAAATAAATCTTTAAAAAAAAAAAAAAAAGGTAACCACTGCCGGGCCTAACACCGTGCCTGGCGTAAATACGTATCAGCGTTTGTTAAATTAATTAAAAAGGAAAGAAGAAACTCAAGTTTAATCAATTTGGGTGTCAGAATTTAAAACTAGGTGGTTTCTACCAAGGAAACATTCTCTGGAAGTTCTGTTCTTATGAACTGACTCTTAACTCACATACTGGTAGAGATGTGCATTTATAGACTGTACATAGATATGTATCTATTATAATATGTATAGCATATACATACTATAGCATGTAACATTTATACAAGACTGAAATTAGTATTATTTATTTATTTATTTATGCCAGCAGTGGGTAGTCAGAAGCGCAGAAGCGCGGGAGGGTGAGAGAATTCACCAGAGCCAGAGCGGGGAGCAGAGCAGGCAGAAAAACCAAAGTACACTGCTGAGGGGAGCAGTGGGCGGCAGGAGAGGTCTGCGCCATGTGGGACCCTCGCCGGTGGCCGGGGAACGAACTGGCGCTGCAGAGGCTGCGGGCAGCTTCACAGCCCAGCGCTCAACCGCTGCGCCACCAGGGAAGGCCCACAGGACTGAAGTTTTTAGTTAGTATAGTAATATAGTATATCAATATAGTCTATGTGTTTATTTGTGTGTATGTGTGTGTGGGAATTTTGATTAAATCAAGTGTATCAGGATGGCTAAATAAATTGATGACAGAGCCCAATGTTGGAGGCTCGACGCTGCCTCTCACTAGCTGTGTGTCCTGGGGGTTATTTCATCTAGTTTCACTTTCCTCATCTATAAATGAGGGTAATAATAATAATAATAATAATATGTCTGTAAAAAGAGGCTAATGATGCCCCAGGATGGTTATAAACATGACAAATGCAAGAGCTGATGCATGTAAAATAGTTAGCACAGCACACGGCACAGAACACAGACGTCACTGAGCGTTCCCTGGCACTGCCCACATTTCATCTTCACCCCTCTCTCCCAACATAGCTGGATGATCTGAGCACATTTGTTTTTATTGTTTGTTTTTCTGTGCAGTTTTTTGTAGTTGAGATCATTCTGTATCTGCATTTGTGCTTACCACATTTTCGCTTCCCTTTATATCTGATGCATTTCCTCGTGTCATTAATTCTTTATCAACATGATTTTTAACAGCTCCACAGCACTCCATCATGTGAACATAACATAATTTACTTCACCATTTCCCCAATGTTGAACATTTAGATTGTTTTTAGGCTTTTGCTATTATAAATAATTCCACAGCGCACACCTTTGTGCATACATCTTTGTCTCTATCTCTGATTGTTTTCACAATATGGATTCCCAGAAATGGAATTACTAAGTCAGATGGGAGGGATGTTTTTAAGGTTATTGATAACATGTTGTCAAATTGCACTCCTGAAAAATGCAGGAAATCCACGTGTTTGTTTGCATATTTAATTAGACCTTACACTGGTCAGGTTTAGAGAGAGTCACGTGAGCCTTCCATAGCTGGTTGGTGCGAGTGCTCGTCTTGTGCTTTTCCTGCCCTGGGAGCCAGGGAGCCAGGCAGACCCTGCCACCCTCCCCCAGGCAGTTCATATGGAGCCCCTGAAGTAGGCAAGAGAATACTGGGGAGGGGATCATCCTGGGTGACATCTCCAGGATGTCACCCCTGGAGCAGAGGATATGCGGGCTCAGGGCATGGGCACGACCACAGCCCTCCAGTGCCTTTCTGGTTAGTGGTTCTGGCCTCGCAGGGACGTCCTGGTCTGTGGGTGGCCATCCACAGCAGGAGAGGTTCCAGCAACCACACCCTCATCTCCTAGAGGGTTATTGGCAGTGTCCTTGGCTTTTTCCTGGCCACCATGATCCATTTACTGCTTTATGTCTTGTGTGTATACTAAAGTCATATAAACTGGCTTATGTCTGTATCATCACAGTAACTACGAAGGGGTCGTCTGTCCATCCATCCTTCTGAGAAGGATTTATTATTGAGCTCCTACACTGAGTGACGGCCATACCTGGCACTGAGGAAGGAGATCAGGAGGGACTGCCTTCAAGGAGCACTTCCCACAGCCCCTCCCCATGCTTTCCTTCCAGAGGCGAGAACCTGTGCTGTGACCCTGCCCTGGGACAGGGTGGCCTGGAGCCCCTCTGATGAGCTGTGTCCCCTGTCCCTAGGTCTGGTCTCTGATCTGGCTGGCGCGCAGGTACCTGCAGAAGGGCTACACCTCACTGCTCTTCCGCGACGGGGACTTCTACTGCTCCTACTTCCTGTGGTTTGAGAACGAGCTGGTGGGTATGCCTGGGCCGGGCTGCACCATCCCCAGCACTTCCCTTCTGTTACTCCCTGGCTCCTCTCTTCTGAACTGTGTGCACTCCATCTCCTTGCCTCTCCCAGCCCTGGTGGAGCTGACAGTTAAGCACAGCTGCTTGGGACCCAGAACTCAGAGGCCCTGTTTTCACATGGACTCTCTGACCCCCTGCACTCAGCCATCTGAAAAACTCCTGCCACATTCAAGGCGGTGTCCAGATAATGAGTGAGCAGATGGTCCTGTGCCTCGGTGCTCACATCACATGTTTCCTTGGTGGCTCCTCAGCATCACCAGCTGCTCTTAGGAAGAGGGGTGCGCGTCACCCCCATGCAGACGCAGAAAAAGTGAGGCCCAAAGCAACCAGCCAGTCTGGGAGGCTATCGACCTGGCCTGGGCCTCGTGCCTGCTGGGCTCTCTCCCTTTCTCTGGACCTCCCTGCTGCCACCACATAAGCCAGTTGTGAGACTTGATTGTGGCTATAGGCGCGTGTGTCTCTCTGCTCTCTGGCACACTCTCTCTTGTTCCTCGTTCCTAATTTTCTTTTTCCCTTCACTTATCACCTGAATTCATTTGTTATTCCAGCTTCCTTAAGGTCATTCCTTCCACCCCTTACATTCCCCTGTCTTTTCCCCCACTCGCTCCCTGCCCTCCCTCTGCTCTGGGCAATGAGCCCCCCTCCACACCACGAGTCCACAACCAGTCCCTCCCCCTAGCGCAGTGCAGTTGCCGGGATCTCACCACTGCTCTCACATGACTGTCCATACAATCTGGGTACACCAGTTGCGGGGGGTGGGGGGGAGGGTCGCTGACCCCATTTTACAGGTGGGGACATTTTGCCCTGGAGACCAAACCCCAGAGCTAAGCCCACATGGTCCTAAGGAATCCAGGACCCAGGCCCAGCGCTCCTGGCCATAGGCACCCGCCCTTGCTCAGTGACCCCTCGGAAGACTCCTGCACGTGTGTGACCTTTACTTTAGCTTCCAGGGCTTCCAGTGCTTGGCTGCCCACTCCACCACACACAAGGGCAGTAGCTGAAGAAGAGACCAGCTGGGCAAGCTGGCTGCCTCTTGCCCTGTGCCCGCCCATGCCACTACCAAGCCCCCTCCTCACCTGTAGGTAGCCACATGGTGCTCCCACGAGCATTTGTAGCCCGTGACCACCTGACTCACAGTAGGAGCCCAGTGGATATTCCTGCCTTGCCACCTCCTGCCCTGGGACTCCCTGCTGCTTTCAAAACAGAGACTTGGGCTTTTTAATAATGCTTTGGTCTTCGTGCCACCTCCCAGCTCTGGCCACCAGTCACCCTCCCAGCAGCCCTCCTGAGCGCGTGGCCATTACTGATCCAGCTCCATGTATTGGGGCCTGTGTATACGTCACCTCTGCCACCATTGGGCACTGGTTGTTTGAAGTAGGACTACTTGGTCCATGCGTTTTTCTAATCTCACCTGAGCCAGGTCTTGAACCCAGTGCGTGTGATTCATATTCTGCCCACTCACACCCACCACCTTGCCGTTCACCACCCCCTTCTCCTTCCTCAGGGGCATAAACTCCAGATAATCGAGGTTCCTGTCCTTTCTGATGACTCGGTTCCCGTTGGCATCCTGGGCAGGGACTACTACAGGTGATGCTGGGTCAGAGGCTGTTGGCAGCAGTGGGTGCACAGATGTAGGGTCTAAAGTGCCCCCCCAAGCTAAACACCCTCCTCTGTCAGAGCTCCTCACAGCCCCACGCGTGTTCAGTGAGAGGAAGCAAGTGGAGAGCACCTGGGGCTTCTGACCAGCTTCCTGTTGGCATGCTCCTGGTGCTCTTGGCAGCTTTGCAAACAGATGTCTGCGGAGCCCCAGGAGAGCTTCCTGCTGGCACTGTCACATCCCTCAGCTCCCTGCCCCTGGAGTGAGAGCCCATAGGGAGGGGCTGTGGCAGCCTAGGACTGAGCCCTGTGAGGTTAGGTTAAGAGGGACAAGGAAGCCTTCACTGATGAGGTGACCGCACCTAGTGAGGTGACCGAGCACTTGCTCACTGTCCGGTGAGGGCCTGGCTTTGGGGGGTGTGCCGTGACTCCACTTCTGAATCCTGTCCTCCTTTTGTTCCTCTAGGAAGCTCCTGCGCTATTACAGCAAGGGCCACCCAGCCGAGGCCGTGAAGTGCCATGAGCTGCTGGCCCTCCACCTATCTGTTGTCCCCACAGACGTGCTAGTGCAGCAGGTCGGGGAGCTGGCCCAGCGCCTATGGGAGGCCTCCCGCGTGCCTTTGATCTAGGATGGGACCCTACACCCACTGCACAGATTGTCTGTGCCCCTGGTTCTTCAGAACCACCCTGCCTGAGTATCCCCACAGCAAGAGTCTCCTCCCATCCATGGTGGCCACATGATGTCGGGACAGGTCTCCAGCTCCACCTACCAGCCTCCGCGCTGGCAATGAGCCAACCCCAGTTCTTCCCTCTGGAGGAGAGCGAGGTCAGGACTTCCCTTGATCTCCTGTTAACACAGTGTACTGTCAGGTCAGCCCCTTTCAGAGCTGCCTCTCTGTCGTCCCCAGGACACAGGGAGGAATTCCCTGGGGTCTGCCTGCTGTTCTCAAAGTGGAACAAGAGCTCCCGCAAACCTTTTCCCTCCCCAAATAAAATGTGCTGGCGCCTAGATTTGGATTCCACTGAGCAGGTTTTCTAAACTGCAAACCCATTTCCTGTCATTAAGAACAACAGCACCTACCTGGCAAGGTGGATGTGAGGGCTGCGGACACGTGGCGAGGGCTTACTGAATGCTGGCTGTGCTTATTGTCTCTCCCTGGCTTATTGTCTCTCCCGGGCTGCTGGACCTTCTTGCTGCAGTATGCCCCTGCGGAGTCCTGGCCTCCCCACGGCTCCTGACCCAAGATCACAAGGGCCACTGGATCCAGTGGATCCCAGGCTCTGAGGTTTAAGAGGGTTCCCAGTGGTCCCAGTGTGCCCTAGACCCTGCCTCCTGCACCCCTGCAAACTAGAAGCTCCTAACCAGAACAGACATCATGGGTGACCATTAGTGCTTGGGAACTGAGGGCATCCGCTGTGGGATGGGGAGAAACTGGCATCCAGCTGGCCTCCGGGTCTTCAGTCTTGAGCTGAAATTGACACAAAGACTTCTCACCAGTTGAGAGAACAGCTAGAGGGAGCAGGGACACAAAAGGAGCTGAACCATGTCTCAGGCTAGAGTCCTCGGGAGGGGCAGTGGCCACATGTCACCAAGGTGACTGCCTGATGCCTCCTCAGGATCAAAGGACAGAGTAAGCATCCAGAGTGGAAGATAGAGCCCACAGGAGGAAAACTGCATCTCGAAGCCCAGCGCTGTTCGGTTAGGACACCTACTCTATCACTTAATGCTTGTCCTTAGCTGCAGCAGCTGTGTCACGTGGTATGTCTAGTTTAACCAAGATCTACTTCTGGATGATAAAAAACACCCGGGTGAACATCTTGAACCAGATTTTAGCAGTGACTCCCACTGGGTATAAATATGCCATGGCGGGTGCAGGGGTGTCAGAGTCCAGAGTAGGAGGAGACCTTCTTCGGCATCTGCTCTGTCCCCCTGCCCCCCAGTTTTGTGGCACACTTCTGATAGCTGCTTCCCTAATGCTGGCATGTCCCAGCAGTACTGGAACCCCCAGGTCCTAGGGTTTTTTCCCTATACTGGAAGCATCTGCTAGCCTATGGGCAAAGAACAAAGGGGCACCTCATTCCAGACAGGCCAAAGACTGTAAGAAGGTGCTTTAGCAGAAGATATTTACAGATGTGATCTTTAATCCTTGCAAATTCTTGGGAAATGGGAAAGGAGCCAGAAGACGGAAGAGAACTGTCCTGGTCTTCAGAGGAATGAGGTGAACTCCAAGAACTGCGGGCAGGGAACCTTGCCCCCAAGCCCCTCAAGCTTCTGTTGCAGCCTATATTAAGTGGGTGGCATGTAAGTATTTGGGAGAAAACTTGCACCTCTGGGGCCTTGGTGACAGATGTGGCCCTCCCAGCAGTTTTGCTGATGCCCTGGATGTGGCGATGCTAAGCTTCTAGCAAAGTCCTGTGGCCAGTGGGCTCCTGCTCTGGGTGAGAGCATTCACCATCCTGCCAGGGACGGGAGCCCCAGCAGAGTCTGACCCCAGTCTCTCTCCTGCTTGCCACTTCCACCCCAGCACAAGCCAACATTTAGTTCTTTAACACGGGAAGGCCTGCCAAGCCTCTTCCTGCCTTTTTTAGAACACTCAGTCATAACCCCCTTCTCCCAGGCTCAGTGCTCCTGCCTCTAAAGTGGAAGTTTACATGTGAGGGTACCCCACTGGTCAGCACAGCGCCTGCCGTGTGGGAGCCCTAGAGAATCACCAGCCCAGGGGTTTCTCTCCTGAGGCCTGGAGGTGGCAGGGTCCTGCCGGGCTTGGGGAGACTGCCCTGTGTGTGCCTCCGTGGACTCTGCCTCCAACTGCTCTCTGTCCTCTGCGAAGTCTTGGCCCAGGGCCAAGTACACAGGGCAGCAGGCTCAGCTCCTCCTGTTTTCCTGCCTCCCCACTTCTCCTCCCCCTGGCCTGAGACTGCACAAAAAGCTGATTACAAGGAAATCCCTGGTCTGCTACTGGGAAGAAATGGCTGCAAGTATCAGAGGACTCAGCAGGGCCTTAGCAGCCTCCCCCTGCCCAGCTTGGAGGAGCACTCATTCGGAAGCCAGGAGCCACCTGAAACCAGAGTACGACGCGGTGGTGATAGGAGCAGGTAAAGCGGGCTGAGCCAGACAGAGGGCAGCCAGACCCAGCATGTGCTGGCGTGAGAGCAGGGGCTATGCTGGAGCGAGAGCAGGGGCTGTGCTGGAGAGCCCACCAGTGTGCCAGCTGGCACCAGGGTTCGGGGGCTGACTGTACTTTCAACTTGCTGTGTGGCCTGAGGCAGATGCTTGCCCTTTCTGAGCTATGGTCTTCTCATCTGGAATGACCAGGGAGGTCCAGGTAAGCTCAGGGGCTTCCATGTATCTCCTGCAGAAATCAGCTAGCTGCTGCTATGTTCCTGGAAAGCGAATGGTAGGTAAGGTCAGAAGTCCAGCCCCCCAAGTGCCCCAATTTCTGGTTGCCATCACCTCACCACTAAGGTCACCCATCTCCAGAGGAACCAAATCATTTCATAAAGGGGAGTCAGAGAAAACAAACCAGTTCTAGAGATCCCGCCATGTCTCTGCAGAGGGTGACGCCCCCTTGCCTGGCACCCCTGGGGGATCTGCTACGGGGATCCTGCTATGCTCTGTTGGCCCCAGCTTCAGCGTGCCCGAGTCCACTGGGCTGAGGCTGTGAGGTCAGGCCCAGGGCACCTTCCTTGGGGCCCGATCACAGTCACCAAGGATCCAAACTGCAGCTTTTGACATTATTTCCAACTGAGTTTATGCAGAGAGAGTGACCGGCCCAGAAGAAGAATGTGCTCATGGCACAGCTTTAAAGTTGCTTCCCCATGTGGGCATTTCTTCATCTTTTACGGACACATTTACATGTGTCCGTAAATGTTTAATGTCACCTCTCCTGGGAAAAGTGTGCACACACTGACATACTTCAGTTTATTATAAATGCTGAAATTAAGCATGTAGCACACACTAACTATACAATACCCTAAATTCCAGGCAGCCAGCTGATTCTTCCTGAGTTTCTGTGATTTTCACCAAACTCAGTAGCCAACTGTGATTGCAAACTAGTAAATGCGGATCGTTCCTAAGGGACAGTTACTTTTTTCACTTAAAGAGTACGACAGGTCACATGAGCAGCTGGCAGCCACCTTGAAGATGGCCCTGAGAGGTCCTGCGCCCTGCACGGAGAGACTAGGGTTCTGAGGGTTGACTTGACTCCCAGAAGTCAGCACCTCTAACCCACACTCCGGGTGGACCCCATGGGGCAGCTGCAGCCCACACAGAGAACTCAGAGCAGCTTCTCTCAAGGGCCCCCTGCAAGATGCTACCTGAGGCTCCCTGGACTCGGGCTTGCAGTTTCAGAAGAGCAAAGGGGAGGCCCAATCAGGGCAGGGGCAGAGGGAGCATGAAGGAAGAGGGTCCTGGCCAGTCGGGTCCTTGACCTTTGTCATTTGAGGTCTGTTTGTGTGTTTGTAGGTTTACATATGGTGACTGCCTGGAAGCCTTTGTTAGCTTTCCAAGATTTATGACCAGTACTAATTAAAAGACAAACAGCTACCATTTATTGCAAATCACCCCAGAGTCAGGTGCTTTCCACATATTGTTGGTTATTTTCCCTTCCTCACTGCAAGGGCCTGGCATCCTTGCTGTTTTACATATGAAGAAGCTTGAGGCTCAAGGTGACTGAAATGACTTGTGAGGGCCTGCCTTGGCAAACAGCAGCAGCCAGCTGGAGCCGGGATGGTCTCTGCCTCTTAATCTGTTGTATGTATTTGAGAGCAGACTTTTTCGAACCACAGGTTGCAATCCGTGAGTCCCATCCAGCCTATTTTTAGAATTTTCTTAGGAAAAATTTCAAAAATACACAAAAATAGCCTGCCAGCCAGCATTTTAAAATTCCACATAGCTCATCATCTGCTTATCACATGATGAGATTTCACATTGGTTCATGAAACCTGTTTCTGTGGGGCGGATGCCAGGTCACGGTGTAAAAATGTGGATTTGCTTCCTGTGGCTCGTGATCAAAGAGGTTTGAAAAACTCCATTTTGGAGATTCCTTTAATGGATGAGAAGCTGGCTCAATGACCTCTAAAATTCTGGGAGTCTCTGTGTGGAAAATGTAAAACAAAGTCAGCTCAGCCGTGAACAGATCCGTCACGCGGGTCACTGCTGCTCTCCTCTTTATGGGTGTTTGTCAAGGGAATGGCTGAGCATTTCATCTGAGTTAACATGGCCTTCGAGCTGGACTCGGAGAACACAGTCATCTACTGACACCTTTGGAGACTCAGAGTGACCTTCTCTCACCAAGGAGAAACATATGCCAAGTGACTCAGGAAAGGCCAGCAGCCCGCCCCGAAATCTGCCAGGGTGTTTGTTTAACAAGGATTCTCCACCAGCAACCGCACCTTCTCCTTCGAGTGAGGAGAGAGGGGGCCCCCACTTGCCTCAGAAATCCCACTCCAGGTTCCCGCTCCCCAGCCTGCTGAGCAGACCCTGCGGTGGGGTGGGCTCTGCAGTTCCCCGGGCGCTCCTGAAGCTTCTCAACGCTGGAGCAGCCCTGGCTCCTGGAGAAGAGGGGAGGGGGTCAGGCGTGGACCATGGGGTCTCAAGCCAAGTTCAGGGCTCCTTACTCAAGGGCTGTCCTCTTAAGATTTTTGGAAAGAAATGAAATGTACAAGAAATAAATATGCCTGTTCAGCTGGCACCTCTGAAACACTCCTCATCACTCTAGTGTGCTTGGAGCACTGCGCACTTCGTTTTCAGCTATACTTGTTTTATTTGGGGAACACTGGGATGTCACAAAGACAAACCCCTGTGAATAACGCCTCCTGGGGCACTACTGTGGCCTGCGCTTGGGCAACACAAGTCACAGATGACAGCAACTGTGCACGTGACCAGAACTCACCGGGGCTCCCGTGATTCCATGCTGGACAGGGCCCTGGCATCAGCAGACCAGGTCCCCCCAGCCCCACACCCCCATCCTCCCTCCAACATCACCCTCACATGGCCAAGTGACAGAAGCCTGGAGGCCAGGCTTTGTGGGACATTACTCGTCTACTGGCCCTGAGTGCCTCCCTGCCCCTCACTCCACCAAGGAGCCACTGGCCAGGCCAGGGTGACAAGACTTTTCTCCAAGCCGGTGCAAGAACTAGAGTTTTCTGATTTCCCACAGACCGGGTGTTTTATGCAGCTAGTTGCTCTCCCAACACCCAGGTGTCGGCAGGGGCAAGGGAGTCTTCCCCTAAGTCCCGGCTGCCTCTCCCGGGCCTTTGTGGGCACGGGGTCAAGGGTGGGTGACCGTGCTCCTCAAGGAATGCGTCTGTCTGCCGCTGACCAGTGCTGCTTTCCTCCCCCTCCCTGTCTCGCTGCAGGACACAACGGGCTGGTGGCTGTGAGTATGCGCCCCCCCCTTCTCCGGGTTCCTGGCCAGCGGCTCTCTGCAACTGCGGGGTGTTAAGGAGCAGCAGTTAAGGAGGTTGTCAGGCCCCCACCCCAATGCTTGTGGATTTCCCTCATAACCTTGAGAGACTCAAGGAGCTTTCGAAAGGGGTAATGGAAAGGCGAGGAAGAGTGGGACTGACAAAGCCTGAGGATCTGGGGCTGGGCAGGGCCCTCCGACTCCAGAAAGGGGGTTCTCTAGTGGAGAGCTCTGTGCACGCCGGCTAGATCATGTGCCAGCCCGGAGCACCCCGCATGGAGCACACAGTCCTGAGAATGGGGAGGAACCTGGTCAGCAGGGAGCCAGGGCTCTGCCCCCAACACAGTAGGCTTCTAGGTCCCAAAATGAGCCAGGCCCGGGACTACACCAAGGCGATGCTTCTCAAACCTGAGTCCGGTACTCTAGGAAGCCACAGCCTGTGCCGAGGGGTTGGGGGGGTGGGTGGGGGAGGCTGTTGAGGCCTCAGGACAAACACGGTTGTCTTCCTGAAGGAGCATCAGCTCTGGGATGTCAACACAGGCAGGCCTAGCCGTGAAGGGAGCGCAAGATTGTGTGAAACTTCTCACCGCCTGGACAGAGCAGTTTTACTAGAACATTTTACGCGTAACTCGGTCGATCAGTAATTTAAACTTTAATTTTACATTAATATAAACATGGGTTCATCTCCCAGCTCTGCTACTTTTTATCTGTGCAGGTCAGGAGAGTCACTGGTAGGGCCTCTGGGTCATGGGAAGAAGAGGAACACGCAGACTTGTCCTAAGGGAGGCGGCTCGGGTGCTCTAAGGCCTGGCACACAAAGCCTGACGCAGAGGGCGCCCTTGGGTATGGTGGTTTCTGGCTGGGGAGGCTGGCAAGGACACCTGGCACAGATGCCCTTCGGTCAAAGACCCAGGGCCCCCTGCGGTTAATCTAGCTGGTTGGTGACCCGAGGCAGCGCCCTGGGGAACCAGGATGGGGTGTCTCAGTAAGAGGGTGTCAGGAGGAAGCTACTCTACGAGTCACTCATACTTTAGCTGGATGATATGGGGAGGAGCTAAGAAAGTAGGGGGTTGTTTTAAATTAGATGCTGTCAGAAAGTGGGGGTAACCCCGTGACCTGGCACGTCGATAGACCTGGGTCCAGGGCTGGGAGCCCAGGCTGAGGAGAGCAGCTCTTGGTGAAGAAGCAGCAGCTGCTCACTGTGGCCATTTGGTATTTGGGGTGGGGGACAGGCAGTGTGGGCGAAGGTGGCAGAGACCCTGGTCTGTTTTGCATAGACAAAGCTGTGAAGGGACTTGCCCTGTCTCAGTTTCTCACGGTCAGATCACCCTGGTGAGGTGGCTCTGTGAGGCTATGGTCCTGAGAGGCTGTGGTCCTGAGAGAGCGACACCTCTGAGGGCCGGGCCGGCTTCCTAGTGCCAGGCTGGCCTCTTTGCTTCCCCGTGAGGATGTGTCAGGAATCCTGACCCTACGTCCAGCCATCTGTTCAATTCCAACAACTTTTCTACTCATCAGTTTCTTGAATCTGAGACAAGCTATTCACCTCACTGAGCCCCAATTTCCTCACCTGTGAGGTGGGGGGAATCACATGCCTACCTCTAGGGGTGTAGCTGGGTCAGATGAAATGATGCACTCACATGTCTGGCAGGCAGCTGTTGCCAAGTGAACTTAAATGCCTGACCTCAGACCTACCCATCCCTGCCATCACCGTGGTGGTGGGGGAAGGCAGGCCCACATTTTAGGTCTGTAGACTCAGGACCAATGTGATTCAACCAACACTTATTGATTTCCCTCTAGGTACTAGAGAAACATTAATTAGAGCTTCCCAAATAAAGCTGTGCTGTGATCATATCTTCATTTGCTGAGTGTGTCCGAGGTGCCAGGTACACCTCAGTGTACCTGGTGGTTATTATTTTCATGGGTGGATATTATTAGATGCAGTGGTTATTATTTTCATCAGTCCCGTTTTTGCTCATGGGGAAACTGAGGCCAGATGAGCTGGGCTGCACCTGCAGGAAGAGAGTAAGGGGATTGGAAGGAGACAGTCTGGCTTAGCACTTACAGAACAAGTTCACTGTGCTACCTCTGGTGCCCCCGAGGGGCGAGGCTGGCCCCCCAACTCGAGAGGGCAGATCAGCTTCACCCAGGAAGTGGAGGAGCAGGAGCTTCTTGTAGGATCTTGGAAAGCCTCTGGGAGAGTGGGAATTTACAAGGGAATCCCCAGGGGCAGGAGCCAGGGGCCACGCAGGCCCTGTAGCCAGGTCCCTGCGAGGGTGGGCCCGGTGTGCCCCGCAGGCAGCCTACCTTCAGAAACTGGGGGTGAACACAGCAGTCTTCGAGAGACGCCACATAGTAGGGGGTGCTGCTGTCACTGAGGAGATCATCTCAGGTGAGCCCCAAGAGGTTGTGTGGGGTGGGGAGGGGGGACCACTGGTGACCGATGGTGACTGTCTTTGTCCGACTCTGTTTCAGGGTTTAAGTTCTCCCGAGCGTCCTACCTCCTTAGCCTGCTGAGGCCACAGATTTACACTGACCTAGAGCTGAAGGTAGGTCCTCTTCCCGCTCCAGCCTGCCCTGAAGGTGTGGGTGTGGTGGGGGGAGCTTCCTCTTCCCACCCAGGAGTGAAGACCCCTGAGCTCTGCCTCCTTCGGAGGATTTGTCAACCCTACATGATCTCCTTGGCATTTTCCACAGGATTTTGTCTAGCCCACCTACCCAGTGTCTGAAAACTTGGGAAATTTCTTCAAAGCCTGACAATGCCTGAGCTTTGTCTACCTCAGGCCCTCCTTCCTACACACAGCCCTGGCTGGTGCCCTGCCCCGAGGCTTTCCTTGTAGAAACCTGCCTGCGCCCAGGGCCTCAGAGTTTGCAAAGCTGCCTCAGAACCTGCACCTGATCTCTGACCTCATTGAACTTTGGATCCTGGTACCATCTGGGCAGCTTGGAGGTAGAAGCTGGACCCCAGGGACTTTCACCTCCCCTGAATCTGGGGCTGTTTGAGGGGCCTAAGGACTGGGGTCTGCCATTGCCAACTTCTCTTAATCAGTCTCCCGCAGTCCACAGGCTGGCCCGACTTTGCGCCCCCCCACCCCCACCTAGCCGGTTCCTTTCACCCCTTGCTGCCTTTAAGAAATTCAGAGCCGACTTAGCAGCCGCCAGCTTGGTGCCTCTGTCACCCAGCACTCAAAGAAGAGGGTCCTCTGTGGCATCTTATGAGAAGCTGCCTGCACCTTAGCACTCACTTTGCTCTAAGTGGAAAGTTTGAAATCAATAAGATGTTCAACCACTGTTCACAGCTCTTGGCTGCTCTGATTTGTATAGCGAATTCCCTGAATTAGATAATGAAAAAGCCCCTGAGGGACAAAGAGAAGGAGAAAGCACCAGGTAGGACTGGATCAATTCTAACCAAGGCCTGGGAAAGGGCCTGTGGTCTTCAGCCCACACCAGATGGGAGCTGGAGGTGTTTGCACAGTAGCAGACGTGGTGCAGGGAGTGGGAGGGGGCAACAGGGAGGGTGCTCCTTCTTTGGAAAAAATGTAATGTGAAAACTAAGAATCACAGAATAGAAATTCTCTCATGATTATTCTCTTTATTTAAAAAAAATCATTTATTTGAAAATGGAGTTATCACAGGCTTCCTCTAACTAGAAGTTCCCAAGTGGATTGAGTATAAGACTTGGCCTCTGACTCTGGACTACATTAACAGGATTATGTAGCCTGGAGGAGACAGTCCTGCTGCCTGGTGCACAGAGCTAACCCCTTCTGGGGACAGTGACCGCCTGGAAGGCATCACAGTAGGGCCAATAAACTCTCAGGGATCATCTGTTTCCAAAACAATAAAAATGAGCACCGATTTCACCAGTGTCTCCCATCTTGGACTATAAGTCTTAATGTTCAATTGATTTTTACCTCTTAGTGTCTCCCATTTATGATGAGGAAACCGATCTTGAGGGAGGGTAAATTCACTCACCAAGAAATGACAGAGAATTTGAACCAGGTCTAGCTAGCAGCCTCTTCCTCCTTGTTCTTGAGCCAGGCAGAATGTGCCACCTCAGCACCTCTATCCCTTTGCAATGGACAGGGTCACAGGCGTGAACTCTGCAGCTCCAGCCTGAGATGACAGAGTCTGGAATTGACTGGCCAGTTTTAAACCCTGCTTTGCCATTTTCAGCTGTATGATTTGGCCTCCAGGTGCCTCATCTTCCTCACCTATAACGTGGGGTGATGCCTACCTCGCATCCTGTTGTGGTAGTGACTGTCTGCTCATCACAGTGCAGGGCGTGCTCAGGGCCTGGTCACTGCAGGGAGCATCATCGCTCCCATGCGACAGTTGAGAGGAGCAGGCGGCTCACAGAACTGTGGTTGGGCTACTGCCTGCCAGGCTGTGCCACTCCAGCCCCGAACCCAGTCAGACCGAGCCCTCAACTGGCATGTGCAGCTGACTTTGGTGCCCTTTTGCCATTCTTGAGCCATTTGTCCGCTCCACTACCTTGGCCCATCACTCAGACCTGTGTTCTGGGCCTCAGTTCTCACAGCTGTCAGTGTGAGCTCTGGATTGGAGGACTTCCCTGTTCTATCCACCCAGATCCTATCCTAAGTTTGACTTTATAATGGCCCCACATTAGCCATGGAATCCAGGCTGGGAGGGCAATGCTTTTGCCCTGAGGGGAAGGGGTACATTTTTATCCCTTATCAGCCAGCATCTGCCTCTCCAGCTCTCCCTAGACCAGCCTTGACCTCATTCAAGGGGCAACCCCTTTCACTCCCTGCCCCCCAAGAACCTTCTGGGTCTGAACTGTATTCATTTGCTCCTGCTTTTCTCCTAGAAATCTCTGAAAGGCAGGACTCTCAAACTGTCAGGTCCACAACAATGACCTGGAAAACTGGAGGCAAACTGGAGATTGCTTGAGGTTTCTTGATCAATGATCTGAGCCAGTGGGGCTGGACGTGACTATTTTGAAACAGGAGGCCCCCAGGCTACAGCTTTGACAATGACACCCCTTAAGACCTCCACATCTCTGATACACCTTGTCTCTTCCTAACAATTTCCCCCCAGGATGCATGCACATACCGAGAAATCTCATGGGTATATTAGAAGGTTTTGTTTCTGTTTATAGAGGACAGCTGCATAATATGCAAATGCTAATGGATATCATCTAATGGTGATTTAATTCCTCTTCTTATTCTGACACCACATAAGTAAATCAAGAAAGGCAAAAGCTCACTTTGTAAAAGATTATCTTGGAATCGTAAAAAATCGTATTTGTGTTCCATCAGTTATACTTGAAACCACTCTGGGGTTTCTGCTGGTCCCTTTGGGGGGAGGTGGGTATTGATGTGCTCATCCAATAATGAAAGCTCCTGTGGGCCAGGGAAAGGCCCTAAGGAACGCGGGTGAGCCGGGAAGACAAGGCCTCTGATCTTAGTAACGGAACTTGAGGCAGAGTGTTACCTGGAGAAAGGAATGCGGCAGTACGATACAGCCTGGACTTATGACCAGAAGCCTCCCTGCAGAGTGACATGTAAGCTGACATTCAAGTGCTAAGAAGTAGCAGCAGAGAGAACCAACAGAGTGTTTTGGTCAGAGGGAAGTGGAGGTGGACAGACCCAAGGCCAAAGGAAAACCAGTGTGGCTGAGCAGACGAAGGACAGGCAGTGGATGGTGTGCGACTGGGGCAGGGGCCAGTGAGACAGGGCCTTGCGGGCTGTGACTGTTACAGGGCAGGGAGAGGGGCACCCCAGACCCCACAAACCTGCCTGCATGAGGACGAGACTACATTCTACCCAAGCGCAGTGGGCAGCCAGTAGAGGTGCTTAATCAGCCAATGGAGTGATGGGATTCACAATTTTATAAAACGTCATTCCACCTGAGGGAGGGTGTGGATTATTGCGGAGTCAGCGTGGCTATAGGGTGTCCATGAGGGGTTCACAAGATGGCGGCTCCACAAGATGGCGGATCAGGCTGAGGGGCATTGGGGATGGAGGGAAGTGGTCAATGCCTGGAGGCAGAGCTGGTGAGACTTGTGGTGGGTCAGATGCCACAGTGAGGGAAAAGGAGGAATAGATTTCACTGTATTAAGAGAAACCAAGCTGGAAATTCCTCTAACTTAGAAACAAAGTTCTCCATCCTAGTGTTAGACAGGACCCTGGAGGTCCCTCAGCCCCTGCCCCCACCAGTGTTTGGATTCACCTCCACAAAACACTCAGCTGGTGGTGGTCCTGCCATCTGGAAAGACTCCAGTTTAGGGAAATTCAGCTGTAATTATTGGAAAGCTCTTTTCTGGTTTCCTCGTGTTTCCTAAAATTTCTGCTCTTAGATCTCATGCCTGTGTACCTGTCTGTGATGAAGCATTCCTTCATTCAGTTCACAGAAGACGAATTGATTACACTGGGTCTAGATGCTGGGGACACAGCTCTGAGCATGGGACAATACCCCTGACCTCAGAGAGCTTACCTCTACCTGGGGAAGAAGGAAGAAAACAGCAAGGCAGGTTGTGTTAGTGCTTTGAAACACATAAAGCAGAATGAGGGGTAGAGACTGTGGGGTGAGCAGGGAGGATTTGCTAATAAGCTTGACATTGAGCCAGCCCTCAAAGAGGTGAGGGAGCAGGCCAAGTATCTGGGAAAAGAAATTTCTGTAAGTCCAGATATCAAGTTGTATACATTAAATACATACAGCTTTTTAATGTCAATCATACCTCAATAAAGTGGTTTAGGAAAAAGAAACCTCTAGTGGGAAGAGTAAGTCTTCTTTGTGGAAGTTCACAGGTATATTTTGTTTCATCTGTACCTCCTTTGAGGAGGTAGGTGTGCTCTTAGAAAGTTCTGTGTGCTAATCAAATATTTGTAAATCAATTCATATTTTAAATGCATCAGGGGAAACTTCATTTAAAATGACCCCAGAGTAAATGAGTCTGCAAAGTAAATAAAACTTTTTGATGTGAATAATTTATCTACCTTGTAAGTATGGATTTTCACATAACCATTGCTCTATTGTGTCTTTCTAAATTTTAATTATTTCTAAAGTGGGGAAAGATATAGTCTAGTGCTGAGAGCCCGGGGCTTTGGAGTCACAGAGATGTGTTTTTTAAAACCCAGATCCACCTCCCAATGTGACTTCAGACAAATGATGTCACTTCTCTGAAATTCTGCTGTTGTATTTGCACAATGAGGATGATACGCTTACAGAGTTGTTGTGAGGTCATCGTTGTCAATCTTAGCACACTCCTGGCACAGGTAGTGTGGTGTGGTGTGGCTTGGTGTGGTGTAGTGTGGTCTGTCGTAGGGTGGCTGGGCAAGAGAGCTTTTTTTTTTTTTTTTAAGATTTATTTACTTACCCAAGCACTGGGTACAGTCAGAAGCGTGGGAGGGTGAGAGAATTCACCAGATCCAGAGCGGGGAACAGAACAGGCAGACCGACCAAATGCACTGCTGAGGGGAGCAGTGAGCAAGACAGGAGAGATCTGTTGTGCCGTGTGGGACCCTCGCCAGTGGCCAGGAATCGAACAGGCGCTGCAGATGCTGCGGGCAACTTCGCAGCCCAGCGCTCAACCTCTGCACCACCAGGAAAGGCCCAAGGACTTTTTAAATGCTTAAAAAGTAGGAACCAGGACCCCATGCTTTGGGAACCTACATGCAGGTACCTAAACAGTCAAAAACACAATCAGAGAAAGGTCACGGGTCAAAGCCATAGATCCCTTCAAATAAGACCTGTGCTAATTGTGTTTTGCAGAAACATGGGCTGCGGCTTCATCTTCGAAACCCCTACTCCTTCACCCCCATGCTGGAAGAAGGCCCAGCAAGCAAGGTGCCCAGGTCCCTTCTGCTGGGTACAAACATGGCAGAAAACCAGAAGCAGATCGCCCAGTTCTCACAGAAGGATGCCCAGGTAGGGGATGCGACCAGCCACTGATATCCTCTTCTCTCTCCAGCCTGGGGGGGCTCTTGTTGGAATTGTCCTAGAACACGGTGTCCAAAGGCCATGGGGGCTTGGCTGGACCACCCCTCCTGCCCTAGAAGGTAACCAGTCTCTGCTGCCTTTTTTTTTTAAAAAAGATTTATTTATTTTTATACAAGAACCGGGGTACAGGCCAGATGCACAGGAGGGTGAGAGGATTCACCAGAGACAGAGCAAAGAACAGAACAGGCAGACTGACGAAATACATTGCTGAGAGGAGCAGCGGGCGAGACAGGAGAGTCCTGCTTCGCCATGTGGGATTCTTGCTAGGTGGCCGGGATGGAACCCACGCTGTAGAGTCTGTGGACAGCTACATGGTGCAGCGCTCGACCACCTGTGCCACCAGGGAGGCCCTCTCCTGGCTTTTGATGTTGGACACTGCAAAGAGCCAGGAATGGACAATGACTGAGACTGTGGACATAGGAGACCCTCAAACCTGTGTGTCCTGTGCTAGGTGACCTGCTGAATTTCTAAAGGGAATCTACCGGTATGTGCTTCTACTGCAAGTGCCTTCCATCTCTCCAGTTTTTAGACTGAATTCCAATTGGTTATCAATATTAAAGCAAAGAAAACCAAAAACAAACAAACAAAAAAAGAAATATATGACCAGAGACAATCAGGAATTTAGGACAAGAGAGTTGTAATAAATATGCTTTCAATTTGTCACCAATTCCCTTGCAGCCCAAGACAAGGAAGGTTCTGTTGGCATGAAGTGGGATTGCATTATAAGGAATTTGTTGAGTTTCCTTTGTGTTGATGAGTCACTGACTTATGTAATGGGCCTGCTGTGATCGATTCTGCAGATATACAAAGATCCTTTGACAGGTCTTTTGGGTATCAAGCTAAAGGTGCAGCATCAGCTCAGATCTGGGTGGGGATATTTTTATAAGAAGAACCTGGGTTAATACAATCCCTGTGTGTTGCTTTTGGTTGTGTGGTGCTAAGAAAGGGGTCCAAATTCTGGTGTTTTCTTTGTGCATTGTCATCTTAAAGGCCTGCTGTGGAGAAAGCTGTTTAGCTTCGTTTTCATAGAGATTTCTCAAATGTCCTTCCACCCAGAACTTTGCTTTGGTAACCTTATTAAAACCCCATGTGTATACCCATGAGTCTAGATGATCCCACTTAACAATTCTGGGCAGAGAAGCAAAAAGGGCCTCATGCATGGCTATCTGTCCCTGTCCCTGCTCCTGTCGCCCCAGTGAAGGTGGGCGTGGTAACCAGGACGTCAAAATGGATTCAGTTGTGGAATTTGTGGAGTGAAGAGGTGCAGCCTCCTATTTCTGCTTATGAGAGAGGACGTGGGAGCTGTGCACGCCTGGAAAGAACAGTCTACATGTGGAAACACAGCACAAGAGAGCTTGCTTCTACCAGTCATGTATAGAAAGACAGGATAAGAGGAAGGACTTTCAAGTGGCTTCAGGGTTTGTCACAGAGCCCACATCCCAGGATTCTTGCCCATTCTCTGTGGCTAATATGTGGTCCTGGCTGGCATTACCCTTGTCCCTGCCACCACCTGTGACTCTCTTGACCCCCAGGATCTCTGATCTTTTAGCATTAAAGCAGCACAGAGCTCTAGGAGTGAGAGTAACTCAACATGGCCACAGTAGGCATGAAGGCTGAGGTACCACCAAGCCTCTGCTGGGAGGTTCAGCAGCTTATTTGAGGGTAGCATGGAGAACAGAGTGTGGGTGCAATGCCTGGTGCGATTCCAGGCAATGGGGCCTTGACTCGGGGCTCTGTTCCAGGCCTTTCCCAAATACGAGGAGTTCATGAATCGCTTGGCACTAGCCATTGACCCTCTGCTGGATGCTCCCCCTGTGGACACGGCGGCCTTTCAGCAGGGATCCTTGGTGCAGAGGCTCAAGTCGCTCTCCACCCTCAAGCCCCTGTTGCAGGCAGGTAAGTCCAAAGTGCGGCGTCAGGGTTGATGAGTGACCTTCGTGGAACGCAGCCCTTGTTCTCCATGACTGGACATAAGCCTGAGTCTCCAGGGCAGCCTGCCAACTGCCATTAATCCATAAGGGGCTGCCTGGTGCACTTTATTTATTAAGTAGGTCTTAGCCTGGTGTGCCTTAAAAATAGAGTCTGAGGCCAAGGTTTATGGGCAAGTTGTTCATTTTTTAAGGATGACCACAGGAAAAGGCATGAAGCTGGAAAGAGGGGTATCAATCCAGGGTGCTGGCTACCACTGCGGGTGACAGGGGGCTGCGTCATGACATAAAAATAAACATTTATTTCTCACGTGACTCCCCGGCTCAACTGATCTCAGCTGGACTCTGGTCCCAGGCACGTGCTGGGGCACATCGGCAGGGGCAGCTCTGCTCTGGGCTGCTCATCCTCTTCTGAAGCGCCAGCTGGTCCTGGCATGGCCTTCTGACATCAGCAGCAGATGCACAGAGGGCAAGTGCCACAGTGTGCACCTCACATCTGTGAACAGCCCAGTGGCCAAGCAACTCCCATGGATGAGCCCACAGTCAAGGTGCAGGGCAGGTGGCTCGCTACAGCAGGAGGTAATACAGAGGTGCCTGGGAATGTGGGTACGGGGGAAGGGTGAAGAAGATTTATCACAGATGCCCAAAGTCGACATTGCCTCCCAGATCACCAGAGCAGGGCCTTCGAGCAACAAGCTGACAATAAACATTCATGCAGTAAGCATGTATCGAGCAACTGTGATGTGCTGGACACCAAGTTAGGTGCTGGGGCGATAACTGGTGGAGCTGATCGCTGCCTTCGAAATCTTCGTACCCAGTTTCTCTCTGCGATGGTGTGAAACAGTATCAGAGGAATGGGTTTGTCAAGCCGGCACCTTCCTGGGGTACAGGTCTTCAGAGTTCAGAGGAAGGAATACTGTACAAGTTTTCCCAGACATCATGCTACAAGCCAAAATGTACTGAATGCCTCTGAACTTTCAATGCTTTATATATTTCATTTAATGCCCACAATAGCTCTTCGGGGCATGAAATGACTGTTTTACAGATCAAGAAATAAGCGCAGAGACATTATAGGTCAAGGTGTTTCCTTATTGCCTGTCTCAGTTTGTGTTTATGTTTTATGGATCTTCTCTTTTAGGCCGCATCCTAGGGGGCCAGCTGCCCCAGTATTACCAGGTCCTCACGGCTCCAATCACCAGGGTGAGAGACCCCTCCAGCTTCAGGCAGGACCACACAGTGGGGGGCCCTCCCTCCCTCCCAAGGCTCCTAAGCCCTTCTCTCTGCCGTTTTGCCGTCCCAGGTGCTGGATCAGTGGTTCGAGTCTGAACCTCTAAAAGCCACGCTGGCCACAGACGCAGTGATTGGAGCCATGACCAGCCCCCACACTCCGGGCAGCGGGTGAGTGAAGGCAGACGCGGGGCTGCAGGCGTGGGGCGAGTTCCCAACAGGAGCTGTTAGGAACTGGTTATGCTGTCACTCTCTGAGCTGACCCAGTGAGCCGGGCTCCAGGCCAAGTGCCCCAAACACAACTCGGTCAGCAACCAGAGCAACACTGGAGAGAAGGCGTCCCTTGCTCAGAGTCAGGCAGTTAGTAAGTGGCAGCGCTAATCTCCAGGCAAGTTGTTTGATCCCCCAAACCTCCCCACTCCATTCCTCCATTCCTCTCTCCTCCTCTCCCTTCTCCTTGGTGTTCTTCTTCCCTCCTCCTTTCTAGCCTTCATTTTTCTCCCTTCAGCTTCAGTGAGAGAAGCCTCTCTCCCCCCTCCCATTGTGACATCTCAACATGAGCATCTTCCTTCCGCTCTTCTCTCTCACTCCTCCTCCCATCTCTTCCCCTCCTGGGGCACCCACGCCACTCCCTCTGCCCGCCCCTCCGCCCTCCCTGGGCTGCAGGACAGGTACTGGCCCAGACACCTTCACAGGTGGGCCTGACGCCTTCCCTTTGTGTGCGCGCGGGCTGCGCTGCCGGCCCGATCCAACAGGGGGCAGTCACACACAGCGGAGCCTGCGGTCGTGGTCTGACTTAATGAGCCCTTGTAAGAGGAGCAGGAATGGAGGCGTGTGTGTGTGTGTGTGTGTGTGTGTGTGTGTGTGTGTGTGTGTGTGTTGGGTTCGAGGATGCTGCCAAGCGTTGGGCCATTTCCAGGACACCAGAAGACGCAGCTAGAAGCTGTCAATGTGGCTTTTCTCTCAAGGGACAGAGCACCCCTTGGAAGTGGTTTCTCCAACCACAGTGAGCCAAGCCCCAAGTCCCTGGGGCCATGATAAAGGGGGTTGGCAGCAGTTGCCACCCCTTAGCCAAGCTGTGTGAGCCACCAGCCAATTTGGATCTTCCAGCTGGAGCTTCTTATCCTCGTCTCTGTGGGTCTCTTGCTCTGTTGTGAAATGTGCCTTTAAATAATTTGTTTCTTCATTAATTCCTTCAATAAATATTGACGGAGTACTTGCCTGTGCTAGGTGCTGGGGAGATACTAGGTGCTGGGGAGTAGCTGAATCCTCATGGGAGAGGTAGTCACAGAGCAGGTAATGATAATGGAGTCTGTGAGTGTTTTCACAGGGGAACAAAGCAGGGAAATGATGTGGTCTCGATCAGAGGAGCCGTGAGGAAGACCCCCTCCATCTGAGACTCCAGCATGGAAGGAATCAGCTAAACAGAAGATGAGGAAGGAAGGGCTTCTAGGCAGCATGCGCAAAAGCTGGGTTCTAAGCAACACATGGTCCATTCAAGGGCCTAAAGGAGTTTGGGAGGAGTATGGAGTGTGAGGGGGAGCAGGTGAGGGGGGAGGCCGGTCAGCAGCAGGAGTGCTGGGGCTGCTTCTGGAGACTCACCTCTCCAAGCAGCGATGAACAACTGACACTTGAAGAAGAGAAGCAGGCGGGGGAGCAGAGCTGAGCTTTGACATCAGCCTCCAGGTTGTGGAGGAGAGGTCTGCAGGCGAGAAATAGAGGAAACCACTGCAGCAGTTTAAGGAAGAGAAGGGAGTGGCCTGGCCCGGGGAAGAGGCAGCAGGGAGCAGGGCCCTGGGTATGTCTCGGGAGGCAGAGTTGATAGCTCTTGACTGGATGCAGGTGGTGAGGAGCAAGTAGGGTGTAACCATGTTCCTGTTCAAAACTGAAGGTGCCTTTGCTGAGATGGGGAATTTTGAGAGAGCAGCTGGTTGGGGGCTGGGGAAGAGGCCGGGTTTAAGATGGCTGCCGGAATGAAACATCCAACTGGGATACCTGCGACTAGGTGGCCATCCAGTGGGAGCTCAGGAGAGCGCTGGAGCGGCAGGTTTGGGCAAAACCACAGTGTTTCTGGCACTAAAGGTCTGCACACAGACACCTCTGTGCTGTGCCAGCACGTCACGCGGGAGGCAAAAGGCTCTTGCCCTTTCCAGTTCATTTCCAGGTCGGTGGGGAAGGGCTGATGGGGGCGGGGAGAGGCTAAAGGTACAAAATTGAAGGGAGATTTGCACTGAGAACTCAGCAGAGATTACCCCTCCCCCATCCCTGATTCTGCTGGTCTGTCCTCAGGTATGTGCTGCTACATCATGTGATGGGGGGCCTGGAGGGGGTGCACGGGGCCTGGGGCTACGTCGAAGGTGGCATGGGTGCCCTCTCCAATGCCATCGCCAGCTCAGCCACTGCGCACGGAGCAAGTATCTTCACTGAAAAGGTGAGTGGCCCCTTACTCCCACCCTAGTTGTTGGCAGAGACCCCAGGATAGAACCAAGTCTGGGATTCAGAAGGTCCCTTGGTTTACTGAGGAACCAGGTAGGGCTGGAATCAAGGGTGAATGTTCTGTGGCTGGTTAGTGGCTGAGCAGCTTCTGGCCAGGTCACAGTGCTGTTGCTGCCCGTCTTTGAGTTCACGGCCACTGACCCACACTCTGGCTGAGGCTTCGCGCTGGAGGGGGTGGGCTAAGGTGTCACAGGGAGCGGGGAGCTGGGCAGGCCCGGTTGGATGAGGAAGCTGTGAGTGCCTGAGGGGCATGCAGACAGTGAGAAATCCCCAACTTGGGTTTCCTTTCTGGTGGTTTCTGAAACCTCTTTCCGTTGGGCTCCAGACTGTGGCCAAGGTACAGGTGGGCAGTGGAGGGCGTGTCCAAGGAGTGGTGCTACAGGATGGCACGGAGGTGAGGAGCAAAGTGGTGCTGTCCAATGCGTCGCCACAGATCACCTTCCTGAAGCTGGCCCCACAGGTGAGGCCCGAGGCCTGAGGAGGGAGGTAAGGTGTCTGTCAGGCCAGGGCGTGGCAAGTAGGGGGATTGAGACAGCCAGGACTAGATCAGGTGGGGGGTGCAAGTCTGTCTAGATGCAGAAAGCCAGTCTTTCTCTCCACTAGTGGGGCCTGCCGGCCTTAGCTGTGTCTGACTGGCTGAGCTAGTTCAGGACGGTTCCACCCACATGACCAGGGCAACTCAGCTCTGCTCCGTGGTCTTCTGTCCTCCAGCACCATCTTCCAGGCATGTTCTTAGCATCTGGCAGAGGGCAAAAGTGAGCAAACTCAGTCACGTTTCCAGGCTTCTGTTTGCATGCTACTTGCTAACTTGGGCCAAACCCAGATTCAAATAAGGATGTTACAAAGCGGCATGTATATGGGGGGAGAGTGGGAAGGATCTGGAGCAACTTTTGCAATTAATCATGACTTCTCTGTCCCCCAAAGATAAGATAATACACCTATGAGCAGAAGCTCCCAACCATTCGTGGGGCTGTTCTTGGGTCAAAAGTATCACTTTTTCTAAGTGATCTCACTAATAAAACTCAACAAATATTAATTCAAAATCATTTTATTAAGTCAATTGGGAGATAATCAAGACCTCAAAGAGCTTACAGAGCAAAGGAAAAAAGAAGCCTGCAGATTGCTGGACACACCCAAAGCAAGAGCTGTTTGGGCTGTTTACCATGTGGTTCCCGCTGGGGCTCAGAGGAAGGAGTGCACCGAGCAGGAGGTCCCAGAGGGCTGCACAGAGGAGGTGGTTTGGCTGAGCTCTGAAAGGCAGCGAGGATTTCTGGAGATAGAGGTTGAGGGACCAGTCTAAGCAAAGAAAGAAGGCAGCCCCCTGGAGGCCTGGGGATACCCAGACCTTTTCTGGAAACTTCTTCTAGGAGTGGCTTCCTGAGGAGTTCGTGGGGAGAATCTCCCAACTGGATACCTCGTCACCTGTAACCAAGATCAATGGTAAGAGGCATCCCAGACTCGGAGCTGTCTCTTGTGACAGTCTCTGAGGACAAAATCTCCAGGTCTGGAGACCTCTGTCATCATCTCTATTTTCTGACCTCTAGCCTGCCCCCCAGTGAAGGTGAAATGAGTTTTCAAACCTTTTCTTCCCGGTCCACCACTTGGACAAGCAGGGAGAAGACTAGGAAAGGGGGTTCCCGAGGTGCTGAGGACCCAGGCCTTTATGCCCTGACTCTCCTTTTTGGCTCCTCAGTGGCTGTTGACCGGCTGCCCAGCTTCCTGGCAGCCCCCAATGCTCCCAGCGGCCAGCCGCTGCCCCATCACCAGTGCTCCATCCACCTGAACTGCGAGGACACCCTCCTTCTCCACGAGGCCTTTGAGGATGCCATGGACGGCCTGCCCTCCCGCAGGTAGGTGGATATTGTCACACGAGGGCCAGGGTCAGGGCACTTCCAGAGCCCCGGGATGGCCTCTTCCTGCTGGCGTTAAACATTCACAGTAGCTGGGGGCCTGCCTAAATCCACAGGTAAGTTCTAAGGATAGGAACTGAACTCTGGGGGCCAGGTAAGGGGGAAAGTAGGACACATTTGGCCAGGGAGCGGAGAGGCAAAGGTTGGCAGAGATCAAAACAGCATTGGAATTTGGTAAGAACTGGAAAAAATGCTTTCTAGGAGAGAAAAGAAGCTTCTGTGATTCAGCAACCTTCACGGTGCTCGCACTCACTGGATTCCCCCAGCCCACTCCACCCCACCCACCCCGTTCCATATTCCCATATTCTTACTTATCACCAATAAACCACATTCATACAAAACTTCCCACGTCAGCAGCTGTAACTCCATCCACCTGGGGCAGGCAGGACATCACAGGAATAGTGTCTTCCCACACTGGCGGTTACCCACTAAGACTTGCTGAGAATCTACTCCGTGCCAGGCTCTGTTTTAGAAGCAAGTTGGGGGAATTAGGGCCCAGCAGGGACATGATACAGGATCCAAAGTTTATCATTGGACAGACACACAACTATTTATACCCTGAAGTGAAGCAGCATGCCTTGGGGCCCCTACTCACGCCAGACTTAAGTCAAGGGTCCAGCCACTACACAGCAGCAGAATTAACACATCCTCTGGCCCACTGTGACCTTCTCTGGTGGGAGATAAGACGATAAAAAAGCATGCCTGATGGTGTGGGGAGAAGCAGGTTGGGGAGGGTTTGCTAGTCCTTTTAAGGAGGTCAGGAAGTCCTATCTGATAACATGACATTTGAGAGAGACCTAAGGAAGTAAGAATACAGGTCTTGTGGATGTCTGAGGAAGAACAGTCAGATGGAAAGTCAGGTACAAAGGCCCTAGGGCAGCAGTGTGCTGCTGTGTTGGAGGCTAAGGGGAGCCAGAGTGACTGGTGAACGAGAACCTGGAGGGAGTGGTAGGAGGAGGATCCGAGAGCTGCTAGATGCCCTGGGGCCTTGCTGATGAATTCTGCTTTTACTTCACGAAAATTTATGCAGGGCCTGACTTAGGCCTTAGAAGGACCACTCTGGCCACTGTGTGGAGAAGGTTAGGGCACCCTCATAGTAGTAATTGGTTACTATTGCAGAGTCCCAGGGAATAGGAGGGGCTTGCACCAGGGTAGGGGCAGCAGAAGTGGTAAGGGGTCCGGGTGTTGGGTGTTTGAAGATAAAACTGGCAAGATGTGCTGATGGGCTAGAAATGGGGTATGAACAACAACAACAAAAATGAGCCTCAGGAAGAGGGTGTTTCCCTTTATTGAAGAGAAGAAAAATGTGTGCATACGGAGGAGCAGGTTTTAGGGGATGCTAGGCTTTCAGTTTGGGTTTGGACAAATTACCATTAAGATGCCTGTGGGCACCGAAGTTCAGAGGAAAAGTTCTAAGTGAGGGATGTGGGGAAAAGGGGCAGGGTATGTGGCTTTGAAGGATGGTCAGATCTGGACAGCAGAGGGAAAATGCGTTCCACGTAGAACAGGTGTTATAGGTGGGGAGGGGCAGGAAATAGCACGTTATTCTGTTGGGTGTCAGGCAGCCCCAGCTACTCTCTTTTGCTTGACCTGCTTGGGACAAGTTTGTCAGACAGGGGGAAGTTTGGTTAAAATCCAGTTTCCTGAGAACCTGCTGTCTTAAACCTGGTCTCTCCCCTCATGCATGTTGTCTGTCTGGAGCCTGGAGCCCCTGGTCAGAGGACAGGGTGTGTGGTGGAAGGTCAGCACAGGCCCTGCATTCACAGGGGCTGGGTAGGCCCAGAGACCCTGGGGGCCTGCGGGCCTGGAGCCATGGCTGCTTGAGGGTGGACTGGGAGCTCCCCAGGGTGCTTTACACTCTCAGTGGCCCACGAGCCCATGCAGGGGAGCAACCACCATGGCTCTTCAGAGTGCTTTGGTCCTGCTGGGGTGTCATCTCACCCAGTAACTTGGTCCCCAGTCACCCCATAGAGGCGCCCCAGCCCCTTCCCTCAGGCAGCGGCTGCTCTTCCACCCTGAACGCTCTCACCCCACCCTTGTGTCTCAGACCTATGATTGAGCTCTGCATCCCTTCCGCGCTGGACCCCACCCTGGCTCCCCCCGGCTGCCACGTCATCTCTCTCTTCACTCAGTACACTCCCTACTTGCTGGCTGGAGGAAAGATCTGGGACGAGCAGGAGAGAAATGCTTATGCAGACAAAGGTAAAGAACAAGAGAGACTGTCCTGTCTCCAGAGTAACGGGCTGGCCCTGCAGCCTGACTGGATTCTTTTCCTGCTGACTCTCCCATTCAGAATCAACACCCACAGGTCCTGTCCCAAGGGGTGAGGAGTACACAAGGAAACCCAGGTTAACACAGTGACTGCCTGCAGGGCTCAGGCAGTGGGCTAAGAAAGTAAAATCACACAGTTCCTGCCCTCAAGTTGCTCATGGTCCAGTGGGGGACCCTAATAAGGAATCCAGTCTTATAGTGCAACATAGTGTGTGAAACAAAGGAGAGAGCCATGAGCCAGAGAGACGAGCAGAGCTTGCAGAAGGAAGGGACATTTTGAACTGGGTTCTGAAGGATGAATAAGAGTTGACCAGGCAGCAAAGAGCATTCCAATCTACAGAAGCAACTTGAGCAAAGCAATGAGGCGAACAAAACTTTGCCTATGTGGGGAGAGACAAGGAACTTTGCGTTTAGGTAAGGAGGTGGGAAAGAGTCAGGGAGAAGAGGCTGAGATCCATGGTCTTTGTGCTCACTTAGCTACTTGCTCGTGTACTGTTTTTGATTTTTGCTTATTGAGATGTAATTTACATATGATAAAATAACCCATTTTAAAGGTATAGAGTTTAATGAGTTTTAATAAATGAGCCAAGTTGCACAGCTCTGATGCCTCTTCTTTCTCCTGATACCATCCCATTTCCCTGCTGCTCGGCACCCAGTGTTCGACTGCATCGAGGCCTACGCCCCTGGCTTCAAGGGCTCTGTGGTGGGCAGAGACGTCCTCACACCACCTGATCTGGAGAGAATCTTTGGGCTCCCGGGTGGGGTGAGTATCAACCTGGAGGCCCTCATTACATTTTCCTCCCTATGCCCCCTCCCCTAGTGTGCCCTCTTGGCTCTTCTTGTCCCTCCACACCCAGCCTTGATTGGGGACAGGGGAGTGGTCGGGCCTAGGGCCTGGGGGAGATACAAACAAGAAAGACAGCACCTGCCGAGCCCACCAGGATGCGGCCCTGCCGAAGGGGCGTCCAGCTCAGCCGCCGCCACCTGACCTTCTCCAGAGGGCGCTCCTCTCTAAGGGTGGTTGTCCTCAGACTTGGATGTGTGAGGCTCTCACTGAGGCTGGAGGAGGGGCTCCAGCTGGGCCCCAGACAGTAGCCAAGGGCCTGCACAGGTGTTGAGGGCCTCTGCCTGGCTGGTAGGGTGGGATGGGATCGAGGGTAAAATACATACCAGGCAGCACAGATGCAGGGCGGGAAAAAGGTGTGAAATGTCTCATCAATACTTTTTATATTGATTCGTGTTATAATATAATTTTTTGATCTATTGGGTTAACATATTATTATACTTGGCACTACTGCATCACATATTTGAATGTTAAGAGAGTTGACCTTAAAATTTCTCATCACAAGAAAAAGACCAACTACTCGAGGTGATGGATGCGGTCATTTCACAACAGACACATCTGTCCAGTGGTCCAGAGGTTGCACTCTGGAAACTGTACAATGTTATATGTCAATTATACCTCAGAAAACTGGGACAATATATATGACTGACATTAATTTCACTGTTTCTCTTTAATTTTCAATGAGGCTACTAGAAAACCTAAAACAACATACATAGGTGGCTCACATATTTTTACTGAACATCGCTGGTCCAGATGCAGAGCAAAGTGGGCCAGGCGGCAGGCAGGGCGAGGAATGCTGGGTGTGGATGGCGGGGGCAGGCAGAGTGGAGAAGTCTGGCCTCCTTTGTGCATGCAGACCTCAGGCTCAGGGATGTGAAGGATCTTGCTGGAGGCCAGGGAGGGGAAGTGTTATCCCCTGGGGCTGGGCAGAGGAGAGCAGAGTGGGGAGCAGACTTGAGGAAGAGGATGAGCTCACTTTGCCACTCATGGAAGGGGCAGGGAGAAGGACATCCCCCTGGCGATGGCCAGCAGGTGCTGGTCTTCCTGTTCAGACCTCACAGTAACGATCTTCCCTTGTGCCACGCCTCCCTTCATGCAAAGACAGTGCAGCCGAACCCAGCTCGGGCCATTCTCCCTGGCAGGCCATCTCTGTGATCCTGCTGGAGCTTGGACCAAAGAACCATGTTCCAGCAGAAGCATGTACCAGCTACAAAAAAAAAATCAATTTCTTCTATTTGCAGAGCAAGGGGGATTCTTGGTCCACAGCAAAACCTCTGCAGTCTCCGCTGTCTTTCCCATTCAGTTTGTTCGCATACTGCACTGCTCCTAACCTTTCTTTCTGCTTAATAAATGCCTCCGGGAAATTTCGCCCCCAGCTTTAGGATGAGGGCCTATTCTTTTTTGCATCTTAACAACCCAAGAAAATATGCTGGAAGGAGAAGAACCTTCCTTGGAGAAGAGGGGTGGGGAAGAAAGCTGGGAAGGCAATAAAGACCATGACACTCCCATGCTAACGGCCACGGCCCTGCCTCTGCAGAACATATTCCATGGAGCCATGTCCCTGAGCCAGCTCTACTTCGCCCGCCCCGTACCCCTGCACTCCAGCTACCGCTGCCCGCTCCAGGGCCTGTATCTCTGCGGAAGCGGGGCCCATCCTGGTGAGTGACCCTGGGTCCCACTCCCTGCGTGGGCTGCGAGGGCTGGCAGGAGGTCAGAGGCTTGCAGAGACAGTGAAGGGGAGATGCAGTGAGGGAAGGGGCTAGGGGGCATGGAACTCCCAGGAGAACAAGCCAGCCCCTTACTCGGAGTTCTCCGCGTACAACAGGCTCGAGGCTTCCCCCAGGCTGGCCACACCTTAGGTTAGTGCCCACCGCCTCCTCTTGTGGTCCGAGGCCTGTGCCCACTCTCCAAATTCCTATTTTAGGTTGTGAGACACCCATGTCCCTAAATGCCCCACCCATCTTATAGATCTTCAAGAATCGGTACAATTTTTCAGTTTTGAAATTCTTCCCTGCACCTACCCCAAGTCTGATGGACCCTACCAGGCCCCTGTTTCCTAGCCACACTGAGCTCTGGGGGCCTTTTCCTCCCTGAAAGGGTCCGTATTCCACATCTTCCCCCTCACACCCTTAGCCTTGTACTTCAGTTTTGAGAGTCTCACTGTCTAGCACATGGCCCCTCAGACCTAGAGGGGGCACTTGCTGGACTGGGCCCCTGGGCCCCTCCCCAGAGCCCTGCTGCAGGCAGCATGGAGGAGACCCCAGACCCTGGCACCACCCTTCAGGCATCCCCCTTCTGTTTAGCCCCTGGCTCTTCCCCAAGCCCAGGCCCTGCCCGCTCCCTAGCCAGGTGCAGAAAGGCCAGGGAGAGGCACTTGAGGAAAGCTGCGGTTCAGAGTGATTCCCTTCCAGGAGGAGGTGTCATGGGAGCGGCTGGACGCAATGCAGCCCACGTGGCCTTCGGGGACCTCAAGGGCATGTGACTCTGAACCAGCTGCCCCAGGAAGAAGACCCCACCCTTAGCTTTGAAGTCTCCCCTGGACAGCTTCTCTGGATGTGGCAAAGCGGCCAACGTGTCTTCGCCACTCAAGCTTCATTTTACACTAAATACAAGTGACATTTATACTCATCAAACTTGCACCCACGATTTCATGAACTGGTTTGTTTAATTAAAAGCAATGTATAATGTACATAGTTTATATTTTTTCAAAGTATTATTTTTTCAAAGTATTACACATTAGGTAATGTGTAATAATTATGTGTCTGCATATGATCCTGCAATAATAGGCAGATAAACTTGTTTGGAATGCTTAGTCTCCATACATCTCTGAACAGTCCATTAGACCAGCAGAAGGGTCTGATGCAAGCATCCCTTCCCCAACTACCAGCTGGTGAGACCCAATCTATTGTCACATTCCCGGCAAGGTGTAAGAAGGAACCCAATTCTCCAGAGACCCACAAAGTCACCCATAGGGGTCACAGGCCGGAATGATCCTGGCATCTCAAGCTGTCAGAACCACCAGACTCAGGGAGACAGCAGTCGGGGCTGACTACTGAGTAGACTCAGCTGAGGGCCTCCTGGAGCCTTCAGCCTCTTTTCGTGTGCCATACTCATTGCATTGCTAAAATATTTTGATACAAACCAGTGTAATTCTGAAGTGAGCTGGGTTATCACTTTTGGCCAGAACGAGTCACACAAATATGCCCGAGCTAATGCAGTCTTCCAACCAGCTTCTCCAGTTTCTACAGCCAAGGTTAAGGTCCAGAGCAGCCCCAACAATGGAGGAGGCAGAATCTTCCTGGCGGCATCTCCTTCCTCCCTTCCCTGGGCAAATTTATACAGCTGAGGCTATAGTCACCTCATTACTTACTCATGCTGAGCTTGATTTCTCATCTGAAAGGGGATTGTTTTAAAGATCAGAGAAGACAATAGGTCATATTTCAGCCTGGGCTCTGGCACACAGTAAACACAGACAGGTGTGGGTCTTGGTGCTAACATTGCTGATGAAGATGCTGTTGTCATTGTTTGTATTCTGCGGAAGTTAATCTTTTTTGATATTTTTTTAACCTAGCAGGTGCTAGCTAATATCTTGAATAGATGTGTCTGGGTTCCATCTACCTTGGTCTGGAGAGCCCACCCTTCCTAAGACCTGATCTGAAGAGAGCAGAATTGAATAACAAATAGGAACTTTCTAAATCTCCAAAAGCCTAGGGCAGATCACATCAAACTTGGACTTAAAAAAAAAAAATCAATGATTAGGGTTTATTGGTAAGCAAAGTCACAAAACTTAATGTAGGAAATTTTTTAAATATAACAAGAGAGAACATACAACTCAGCTATAATCTTACCTACAGAGGTAATCTTGGCTACCTTTTTAAAATATTTCTGACTGGCCTTTTACATAATTGGGATCATATTCTACATTCACACCTGTCTGGGTTTACTGTGTGTGGTTTGACATCCTTCTTTAATTTTACTTCATGTCATGAGCATTTTTCAGTATCATGAAATTTCTCTGAAAACATTATTTTTAATAGCTGCCTAATATTTTCTAGCAAGAATGTACCATAACTTATTATGGGACTTTGAATGTAACCTTGGCCTTGATTGCCAATTAGCACCAGCTACCCGTTCACGTTGTCTACTCGAGTTGAATGACTCCCCATTATATCTACCAGGTACCTGCTGCTCAGGAAAACCTTCCTCTAAAGGAGGAGGGACTCTGCGGAGGCCAGTGAGAGGCAAAGAGCAGCTTTAGCACTGAGAAGAAGAATTTCCCACTGTTTTGATTTCCTGTCTGTCTCAAGTTTCTGGAAGATAACATTTTGTCCAGACCAAGATCCACAATTGGTGGGGCTCAGCCCTATGGGGTGCCTCCGTTCCTACAAGCGCACCTGCACACATCTCTGGTTGAGTGGAGGTTGGGGGTGAGCTCCCCCAAAGTGACGACCCTACACACTGGCCATATGTGGGTCAACGGGTCCCTTGCCGACTCCAGCATGTAAAATACAAGGATAAACAAGTCAGCGCCATATCGTCACCTGATTTACAGCTGTCCATTTCCCCAAAGCAGTGGGGAACACTTCCTCTGAGGCACAGTCGTGTAAAAGCTCGGCGAGCACATGCACTCACCTGGCAGTCATTATTTCTCGGGCCCAACCTCTCAGGCCCCGAAGGCCTCTGGGTGATTGTGTTCCAATCTGGGAGAGATGTGAGGTTTACGGCTCCCAGGGGAATTTGATGTCCTAGTTGGAGGAATGACAAATGTGTCTGGACAAGCCCCCAATAGGCCTCGAGAGTTTGCATTCTGTGACACGTGCTCTGCTTGCAAAGAACTTGGCCACCACTGAGTGCTGTGGGATGTTAATATCGCCCCCATGCCTAGCACGGGAGGGCCTTCCGTGGGGAGAGGGAGAACGTGGAACAAAACACAAAATAGGAGAAAGGCAAAAGGACAGCAAGCCTGAAAAAGGTAGTTAACCTCACCAGGTTCATTTACATATAATTAGAGCCAAATGGTCGTATTTTAGCATAAAATGGAGAGAAATTACTTGTGTGGGCAGAAGAGACTCTCATACATCCTGGCAGCAGCCTAAATTTGTGTAGATAATGGAACTTAAAAGCCAGCATCCGTGTGTCTGGGTGAGGTGTTCAACATTATCACTGAGCCTAAGGAAAATATCAGAGCTTTCCCCAAGGATGTAGGTGCCAGGATGTTCGTGCAGTGTTATTTGCAATGGCAAAATAGTGAAGGCAGCTTAAATGTCCCAAAGTAATTAGTTAAATTTATCATGGTAACTCGTGATGGAATATCAAACAACAATTTTTAAACATCACATTTTTAAAATTATTTTTACTCATGTAGAAAAATGCTAATTACAATATAAGATAGTGGGATCCCCAATTTTTTTGTAGAAAGAGATAACGAGAATGCTCCCTTTCATATAAATGCTATATAGCATACATGAAATACCTGTTAATCAGTACTATAAAGCTATTTACTGGCAAAGCCCTAGGTCTGGCTCTAGACTAGTTGGGGATGAAGGAGACAGGTAAGAAGGGAGAAGAAAGAGGGAAAAGGAAAAGAGGGATATGGGGGACAGGCCCTCAAGGTGCCCCCGACCTGTGAGCCTGGTGCTCGTGCCCTGATGAATCCCATGCCCTTGAGTGTGCCAGCATCTGTGACTTGCTTCTAAGCAATAGACTATGCCAAAGGTGATGGGAGGTATGTGATTTGTCACAGAGGATGATAGTGTCCATCGTGCAGGAATCTGTCTCTCCTTGGCTAGTGGTGAGGAAGCGGGTAAGATTCCCCACGTGGCAGCCTCTAGGACCTCAGAGCAGCCTCTAGCCAATGGCCAGAAAAACCCCAAGTTCTCAGTCCTACACCCTCAAGGAACTGAATGCTACCAACAGCCTGGTGAGCAGGGATAGTCAGTTCCCTGACTGTCGGCGATAGTGATATTGGTGATATTGCCTGGCACACACGGCACCAAGCAGAGATGAGTTTTCTTCTTTCCTACAAAATGACACTCAGAAGTGAAGGGGTCAGGCAGGGAAAAGGAAAAGAGGGATGGGCATCTGGAAATTTCTGGACCTGCCTGGAGCAGAAGAATGAAACAAAAGCCTTCACAGAAAGAAATGGAGCAAGATTTCTTCAAAGCTTGCAGATCGCTCAAAGAGAGGACCCCCAAACTAGGAGATCCCATCCTGAGACAGCAGCACACACACACACACGCACCCCTCTACAATAAACTACGCAGCTCACACACACGATCAGTGCATCAGGGCCAGAGAGGAGGAAGGAGGCAGGCAGAACGCCAAAGGCGGGAGCCACATGTGGGCTGCTGAGTTGTGTTACTGGTCCAATAAATCAATCTACCTTGAAGGAGCGCCTCCAAGCCGTGACTGTAATTGGAGCCACCTTCCTCGAGGGCTGTTTGTTATGATCAAGGTCAGTTGACAAGTGCAGGTTTGCAGCGTTGCGCACTGTCCTCCTTGCCTGCCTCTGGGAAAAGCGGTGCCACCTCTGAAGAATCAACTGCACGCTGCCGGGAGGCTGCGGGAAAGTCGGAAAAAGTAGGGTTGGGTTCACCTCTGATTTCTCTCCTCGTTGGATTTCTAAAACTCCCTTAACCCTTCTCTCTAGGATGTCTCCCTTTAAACCACTGTCTCCATTAATTTGTTATTTGTTGCGTCTTGCTGTAGGAACCTAGCTCCCAGGTCCCGAGGGCACCAGACGATAACAATGGCAGCTGCTTATTGAGCCCTGATTCCGTGGAAGGCACTGCACCAAGAAAGCATTTCATGGGCATTCCTTGACTTAGAGGAGGCCACAACAAGTCCAGGAACCAGCTCTCCTGGCTCAGAACTGGCAACGGACACCGTCAAGATTTGCAGCAAGGTCTTCCTGACTTGTCGTGTTCTGAGCAAGAAGATGCATCCACGAGGATGAGGAGACAACTGGACGAACCATCGAGTCCCACTGGCTCTTGGCTGGTGATGTGTGAGCTATTCATGAATGTGAGACATTGGTCCCTCCTCTCAAAGCAGCTACAGCTTCACGCGGGGGGGGCGGGGCACGGACCTTGCACGTGAGGATTATTACTGACTCCAGCTCCACACAACGGTGCACAGAGCACACCAGTGGAATCTCTGTCAAAATGAGCTACCTGTGAGCAGGGAGGGTCAGGAAATATTTCATCCAACACAGGGAACTTGAATGAGATCACTCTAAACTCGGATGAGGATGAGGGAACAGCCTTGTTCCTCCAGGGTGGCATGTGGCAAAGGCAGGGAGAGGGAATGGGCAGGGAACTAAGGTGCACACAGTGGGACAGGATGAGGCAGCGTAAAGAGCAGCGATGGGAAGTGAGGCAGGACAAGAGTGGTGAGTGGCGAGTGGCAGAACCTGCATGCCTGGCTGAAGGCAGGCTCTGCTCTATGGCAGCATGGAGTCTGAGAAGCTGTTGGGGGTTCCTCACATGTTGGAGGATGTTGGGTCACCTAACTTGATCATGTGGTCATATTCACAGTGTTAGCAGAGATCACCCAGGGTGGGCTTTGGGGCTGCCCTCTCTCCCCAACCCCAGGCTCGCTCCTGCGACACCCAAAAGAGCTGTTCAAAAGATGGAAGGGAGTTGAGAATGGGGCGTGGTCTCCAGAAAGCTAGAACCTGATGCCC